CGCTAAACCCTATAAATGTGTTGGTTTGCTTTGCGTTTATTGCGCTGACACGAAACAAAAAGGTCCTGACAGCCGTTTTTTGGTCCTGATAACCCTACTGTGAACGCGATGGTCCTGACAGCCGGTCCTGATAGCCGGAGAGGTCCTGGTAACCCTACGCTGTATGCGAAAATGTCCTGATAGCCCGTGGGCAAATAAGAGCACCCAAACAGACACCCAAACAAACAAACAAACAGACAAACAAACAAACAAACAAACAAACAAACAGACAAACAAACAAACTAAATCACAAACAAACAAACAAACAAACTAAATCACTAAAATACCCGGATTAAACATAAGTTTCATAATATTCTAAGATTTTTTTTAATTAGCCTGTACAAAGTACATTTAAAAAAATATGATGTTTAGGATGTTGATATAAAGCTTTACAAGCAACCTGGACTGTTTGATATCATCACTTTAGTCCAACACTCGTCTTCCTATTACACAGTTTCATATATGTGTCTTAGTGAATTTTTTTATGAAACGTTTCAAACGTTGGTTTCTACAGGATCGAGAGGTTCGAGATGTGCCTGTAGCTCTCCCCCTGTATTCCGAGCAGGAACCTATAGTTTATGTAGGTCCCTGGGCAGAATGTCGACCTCAACAAAAATATTTAAATAAACGTGATGTTAATTCATTCTCCCAAAACCAACCTTATAGAAGTAACCAACAGCATTATCAGGTTCAAGATTCATACTTCTCCAATCCTTCTAATCCTGCTCCTGTAGGAGCTGAACCTGTCTTCTATCCTGGCCCACCTGGAGCACATCCACCTAGTCCAGAAGATCTTCCTTTCTTTATCAATTCCTTTGATGCCAAGTCCCAACCTAAACAATGGAATTCTCAGAATAGTGTTCAAGGTAGAGTTGGAAAGCTTTTTAAAAACATGCTAGATTCCTTTGCTGACAGGAGAATTCTTGTTCACTTAATAGGCTTCAAGCCATCTTTGATTTTAAATCTTAACTGCGGCATGTTCTCCTCTTAAATTATGAATCAATAACAACAAAAGATTTTGTGGATTAAACTTTTTTTTGTGTATTTTGAAAAATCTTAATTTTCGAGGACAATTTTTTTTATTTTGACTTTTCTTTTAAACCTTCCCGGGGTCATGAGAGTTCCTATAAAATATTTGAATAGGATCGGTTCAGCCGTTTTGACGTGCATTGGATAAAAACTAACACACAATCAAGCAACATATAATGTATATACAATATACAAAAATGAAATTGTACAAAATATTAACTCTGAGAGAAAACATGAACCTGGTCGTTAATGAACGATGTAATTAAACCGTTCAGGCTCTTAGGAATTTTGAATTTGTATAATAATACTATTAGGACCAGGAGGATCAGGAGGTCCTGGAGGACCAGCAGGACCTGGTGGACCTGTATGGAGTTGGAATTCTGAACCTAAAGCTCAAATATCTGGACCAACCAACCATCACACCATTGTCTTCCCACCACCAAAGGTAACATTGCCAAACTTTTTGATTTTGTCCGACATTTTGTAAAAAAAAAACTGTTCAAAGGTTTTCTTGGAGTTTGAATGGAATAGATAAAGACTACTGCTAGGTGTAGTCAATCTATATTTAAAAGGACTGTTCGCAAAAACTGAAAGGAAGTTTAAAAGAAATCGTGTTTAAAGCTTGACTGAATTACTCGCGATGTATCTTAAATAAGCATTAAACTGTATTGCGGTGATATCTAAAATACTGTGTATTTCAAGATGGTTATATCAATCAAACTTTAAATTAAAGAAATATTGCTGATTAAATCTCTCAATCTTGGTTCTAAATCCCTCTTTAGTTTTCAGGAACACTCCCTTTTATAGGATTGTAAAGTTGGTAGATTAATACCTAGCATGCTTCCTAAACATTAAACTGTATTGCGGTGATATGTAAAATACTGTGTATTTCAAGATGGTTATATCAATCAAACTTTAAATTAAAGAAATATTGCTGATTAAATCTCTCAATCTTGGTTCTAAATTCCTCTTTAGTTTTCAGGAACACCCCCTTTATAGGATTGTAAAGTTGGTAGATTAATACCTAACATGCTTCCTAAACATTAAAAACTACGTACATGGAAAAGTTTGAAAATAATTTATTAACATTTACCACCACACACCTTAATAGATATTTTAATAATTCTGAGCAATTGAGAACTACTTAGGTTTTTATTATTCAAGAACAAGTTAAGAAGAATTAGTATTTTTGGGATTTGGAAACAAATAGGAATTTTTAAATCAGATTTCGACGAGTATGCCGAACACCGCGATGAATTAAATCCTACATTTTTATGATTTTGAATGGTTTATTTAAGTGATCTATATTACGATGAAAATGTCAGGGTTTCGTTTTACAGTGGATACAATACACTTTAAAGTAGTATTTTTAACTCCTTTGCAATCTAGCTTGGATTAGTATAGTAAAGTTTGTTTTTGTATAGTAAATACATATTTAGAACTATAGTTCCCCCTTTAATGCAACAAATGATTTTTAAGAAATTCATCTTATTTTATATATATTTATTTTATAATTTGTTTTCCATCGCATTAAGGTTTTCATGATGAGTGAAAGGGGGGGGGAACGAAAGTGTTGAATTGCTCACACTGCATGCTTCTAAGATGTAAATGTAAAATAGTGTCGTTGAACGAAACTCCCGAGTTTCCTCTTTGGGGTCTTAACATTTGTGTAGATTTTAATTTAAGAGATTAAAAAATAGAGAATATGAAGAAACTAAATAAATTAATATTTCATAACAAAAATATTGAAATCCTAACCTCATTTGTAAAACCCGGGTTCCAAAACTGGTTTTCATAACGATTCCTGTCTTAAGTTTTGGGCTCTGGGAGAAATGTAAACAAAACTCTGCAGTGCAAAGTTAAAATAATTCTTTTTATATAAATTGTTGATGAATCAAAACGTTTACATTTTCATTTTAGTTGAGTTATCCAGACTCAAGAAGAACCCATCAGCAAAACATAAACCAGAATCAGCCCATCAACATGAACAGTATGAACATAAACTTGAACATGAACCAGGACGAAGAGAACGGAGATAGCTCTGTCGTATCTCAGGGTCCTGTTCTGGGTAGTAGAACTAGGGAGGTCCTGTGTCGAGGACCTGGTGGAGAAGTGAGTCCCTTCAAGGACTGTATGGACGGGTCTAGGGCTACAATTGTACCGGCGAATAAACAAACATGTACAGTAGATCTGGACTGCCAGGTAAATATCATTACTAGCTGTACACACTACACAGTAAATTAAAGATCATGATGCAGTGAACCTTACCTTTGGAACCAATATTCACCCTTTAAATAATGAGTTTTAATTTATGTTATTTTTTTGTTGGACTTCATATTTTTAGTATCGGAGTATAATCGTTTTGTAGCAGTCGACGTTTTGTAGCAGTAGACGTTTTGTATCATCGACGTTTTGATAGTCGAAATTTTGATAATCGACATTTTGTACCGACTCCATTTATTGTAATAATTAATTGGAAGTCTCTTTGCAATTATCTTTTTAAAACGTCAATATTCTCTTTTTCCAAGAATCTCGATGAACTTTCCTTCCATATATTTCTGAATATTAATGTAAATATATGCATGGTGTACAAAACTAATTCGTCATCAATCATATTAGAAATTCAAATTATTTTGTAAATTTGAATAATCCCCTATCATCGAATATATTTTGATATTTATCACCAATGAATTTGGGAAATAAAAACACAAATATTCAAGATTAAACTGGGTGGTGCGAGGGTCATTAACATTCGTATCCTAATAGGATCAAACATTAACATTCGTGTCCTAATAGGATCAAACATTAACATTCGTGTCCTAATAGTATCAAACATAAACATTCGTGTCCTAATAGGATCAACCATTAACATTCGTATCCTAATAGGATCAAACATTAACATTCGTGTCCATAATAGGATCAAACATTAACATTCGTGTCCAGAATAGGATCAACCATTAAAATTTGTATCAAAAATCCAACCTGTATCACATTCATAATATCAATCATTAACATTTGTATCCAAGAGGATCAAACATTAACATTCGTATCCTAATACAAATATACAAATAAATTGGATACCATAAATGTATAATCCTATAGTTTTGTTGTACATCTTATATGATAAAGTTTTGTTTTTCATATTTATTTTTTTTACGAAAAAAATATAACAGGATTTACGGTGTGGACCAACTTACATGAAGATAAAGTTACGACGTATATGAACAGAGCTGAAAACTTAAGATTGTGATATCCTTAATCTTGATTGGTTAATTAATCTTGCGATTAATAATAAAAGGAGAACAAGCATTATTTAGTCTTGAGATTAAGTAAAAGAGTGGATCAAGCATTAATCCCAATATCTCCCATTCAAAAGTTCCCAGCTCTGATTCGTACTTTTTCTATCTGTTTTAATCGGACATGCCGTGCATAAAAGTTTACTTGAAGCCTTGTAATCTTACTTTTCTAAATCAAATACCGAGCATAGCAAGTAGTCATCACTATATAGACAACACCATTTAATCAACATTTAACTCAAAAAGTACTGTAAATAGAATATTAATTACATCAAAACTTTAAGACCTTCCCCCCCACCCCTCCCTCCTAGCCCAATCTATTTCTTCTAGAATATCCCGGCCAGACTCCCGGCTCTAATAGGATTAAATGATTTCCAAGGATTAATTTATTCCAAACTTAGAATTCAGTCAGACTGCAGATTTATCTTGTTTTTATTAATCCTTAAAACTTGGATACAAGGATATATATTTCAAGATCCCCCCACCCTTCCCTGGATTCAGGGATATATATTTCAAGATCCCCCCACCCCTCCCCTGGATACAGGTATATATATTTCAAGATCCCCCCACCTCTTCCCTTCAAGATCCCCCCACCCCTCCCCTGGATACAGGGATATATATTTCAAAATCCCCCCGGGATTGGGCCCTGTGCATGACGATCCTAAAATCTTTAAAGGAAATGTTTGCGGAAAAAATACAGCTTTCATTTTTTTATTCAGCTCAGAGAATTTGATAAAAATATTTCCCATTAGACGCTTCGGGAACCCAGTTTCTAACTGGCAAAATTGGACGGAGCCGACCATTGACAGAAACATTGCACAGATATGTAGTAAAAGCAGTGCCAGTTGTTATTTCTAAACTTTTTTTCAAAAAGATCTGATGTATTTTCACATTTTACAAATAACGTACTCAACCAAACCTAAACTTTTTTTCAAAAAGATCGTATGTATTTTCACATTTTACGTATAACGTACTCAACCAAACCTAAACGCTTTTTTCAAAAATATCTGATGTATTTTCACATTTTACTTATAACGTACTCAACCAAACCTAAACGTTTTTTTTTCAAAAAGATCTGATTATTTTCATATTTTACGTATAACGTACTCAACCAAACCTGAACTTTTTTTCAAAAATATCTGATGTATTTTCACATTTTATGTATAACGTACTCAACCAAACCTAAAAATTTTTTTCAAAAAGATCTGATGTATTTTCACATTTTATGTATAACGTACTCAACCAAACCTGAACTTTTTTTCAAAAATATCTGATGTATTTTCACATTTTATGTATAACGTACTCAACCAAACCTAAAATATGTTTTTTCAAAAAGATCTGATGTATTTTCACATTTTATGTATAACGTACTCAACCAAACCTGAACTTTTTTCAAAAATATCTGCTGTATTTTCACATTTTACGTATAACGTACTCAACCAAACCTAACCTTTTTTTCAAAAAGATCTGATGTATTTTCACATTTTCCTGTTTAAAGATATGAAAACATAAATATTTAATTTTCTATCCCTGCTACTAGGGGGGAGGGGGGCTGGTTTTCACGTATCTATAAATATTAAAGTTCTGGGAAATAAAAAATTACAATTTTAAAAACCAACTTTTGGAAAGAATTTTTATATGGACCGTGAACAATTTCAATTTAGGAAATTTACTGAATTTTGTATAAAATTAGATGGGACCCCCCCCCTTATTTAGAACACGTGGGGAGGGGGGAGAAAAGGTTTAAGTTTAGTGTTTAGATGATACTGTTTTGTATTCTATATTTTAATCTAAAACTTCAAAATCATAATTAATCTTAAATCTAATTTAGATAGAAAGATAGCTAAGTAGATAGATTTCAGTAGAATATGTAGATAATAGATGCGTAGGTATATTTTAAATAGATGATAGATAGATGGATAGAAAAGTTGGTAGATTTTGATAAAATAGATGGATAGGCAGACAAAAAAGTAGTTATAGAGGTAGGTAGATAAGTAGGTATGTATTTTGATTAATATAAAGGAAGATGGGTAGGTGCAGGCAGATATATAGATAGTTTGATTGAAAGCTAACAGGTAGGTGGGCTTCAGGTGAGTAGCTAGGTAGGTTGTTAGACAGCCAGGTATGTAGATATATATATGTAAGTTAAAATTAGTAAATCGTAGGAAAGTATGTAATAGGCAAGTAAATGAATACATATGATGGGTAGTAAGGTATGGTAAATTCATATGATGAAAAGTTAGGTAGGTAGGTTAGGTAGTTAGTTAATTAATAGGTTAGTAGTTAGGTTGGTTAGTTAGCTAGTTATGTGGATAGGAAAAAGTAGTAAATTAAAGGTATTATCTATTTTTAAGGTCGGAGAGTGGAGTGCCTGGACCCAACTAGACCCTAAAGACTGTGCTTTAGAACAGGGAAATGCAATCAGGGAAGTTGCAAACATTATTTTAACCTCAAAAATCAAACATTACAAAGTTATTCTAAAAACTGTTCGCTAAAACGCTCAATGCCTTCGGTCAGTGTACTGCAGATCAGTGCAGTACGCACAAATACGCACATAAAGCTTGGTTTATTAAGCATAAAGGTCAATTACCATAATTCATAACACTTTGTCATAAAACGATCATTTTTTCTAATACCTGTACCATGACTCTTACAATTAAATTAATAATGTAGCTTAATGAGGGTGACAAATTCAATCGATTGCAAATGTTCACAAAATCACAAATGATATATATATATATGGTATATGGGGGGAAAGGTGGTTAAATCCAAGTGGATGATATTCCCTGTATAGACGGTTGAAGAGGATTTAGTCTAGGTTTCTGAACTAAGAGTTGGGGGGAATTCCGGAATATTAGGTAGGGACTAGGGAGGAAGGAGAGGGAAGGGGTAGTGGAAAGGGTAGAAGAATAAACAATACACAATATTAAATAAGGTAAGAAAGGGTTAGAATGAAATGTTTACCGGGGGGAGGTGTAATTCAAAAATGTTCAACGGATAAAATTACACGTACACGAAGAAATAATTGTTGAATTGGGCACAAGGGAGGATTTAATTTGTTTCTCGGTTCTTGTTTAATAAAATTATTATAAACAAATATTGGAGAATACAGAAAAAAACGACAATATCTTCCTTATTATTATTCCGATAAAAGGCTCAATTGTACTGTTGTGAATCGGGTATGTTACATTTAAGTACTTGAAAAATAAGATTTACTTAAATTTAAATCGACAGCCTCTGAAAAAATAAGATAAGATATGATATAGTTTATTGCTAAAAATACAGATAAAAGTTATAATGTTGCAGAAAATGTGCAACTATTTAGTATTTACATATTGTTTACTATATGTAATATGTATGTATTATAGCAATTAGGGTAAGATTAGCTTTCGCTGATTTGGGTATTATCCCCACCTAATAAAATAAATCCCCACCAAAAAATAAAGACATCGTGGATTGTTGTGCAGTTTATAGGAACTATGGTGGGATGATGTGGTCTGATAGGGAGCACTGGAAGAGGAGAAGGAGGGGGTAATGTTTTGGTCTGATAGGGACCACTAGGAAGAGGATAAAGGGGGGGGGTGTTGTGGTCTGATAGGGACCACTAGGAAGAGGAGAAGGGGGGGGGATGAGAGTATACTGAAAAGGTTTGTTCCCAAGGGGACAAACCCTGTATCCCGTAATCTCAGTTTCTTTTATATCTGTTTCTTTATTCAATATACTCTTGATATATTCTAGATATATTCCAGGTATATTCTTTGTATATTCTAGATGCATTCTAGATATATTCTAGGTATATTCTAGGTAAATTCTAGATATATTCTAGATATATTCTAGATATATTCTAGATATATTCTAGATATATTCTAGATATATTTTAGATATATTCTAGATATATTCTAGGTATATTCTAGGTATATTCTAGATATATTCTAGATATATTCTAGATATATTCTAGATAAATTTTAGACTTATTCTAGATATATTCTAGATATATTCTGAATATATTCTAGATTTATTCTAGATATATAGTAAATATATTATCGATATATTCTAGGTATATTCTAGTTATATTCTAGATATATTTTAGATATATTCTAGATATATTCTAGGTATATTCTAGATATATTTTAGATATATTCTAGATTTATTCTAGATATGTTCTAGATATATTCTAGATATATTTTAGATATATTCTAGATATATTTTAGATATATTCTAGATAAATTCTAAATATATCCTGGATATAATCTAGAAATATTCTAGATATATACTAGATATATTCTAGATATGTTCTAGAAATTTTCTAGATATATTCTAGATATGTGCTAGAAATATTCTAAATATATCATAGATATATTTTAGATATATTCTAGATATATTCTAGATATATTCTAGATATATTCTAGATGTATTCTAGACATATTCTAGATATATTCTAGATATGTTCTAGATATATTCTAGATGTATTCTAGATATATTCCAGACATATTCTAGATATTTTCTAGATATATTTTAGATGTATTTTATACTAGTATTAGACCACAAATCTTCTTCTAGCTTTATATTCATCATTCCCCCATTTATTCATTCATCCTTTCATAGTGACATCTATAAGTAAAAAATAACAAAAACGACATTCATACCACAATTTTTGTTTTGACTGTAGTTTAGTCGAATTTTTAACTTTACAGCTGAGTGGATGTGCAAGGTCAAAAAGGATATGTATTACATTTCTTTATCTAGTCTGTTGTCTGAACACAGAGTTTTACACTTCTCACTCAACTATAGTTGATCCACCAATTACTCTAAACTCTCAAACATACTTTTATACCACTTTTTTACCACTTTTCTACCACTTTTCCTCATATTTAAACAAAACTTTGCAAGGTATGCAAAGAATTTGATCTTTGTGTATCTATCTATCAGTCTATCTATATATATATATATATCTTTATATCTATCTGTCTATCTAATCTATCCATCTATTAACATACATATCTATCTATCTACTTTCTATCTTGAATGTTGACTGGTGTGTGATGAATCGATCTGAATTATGTCTCTCATTCATCAATCTTTGTATAAACACGTCCTTGGGTTCCAACCAAATCTGAGCACATGAATATCAGTTATAAGATTAAAAGCAAAAAAAACTGTTTTATTTTCCATGACGATTCAGCTTTTTAAAACTGGTCTTTTTTCATCTTTCCATTTATAAATCAAATTTTTTCCACAATTTTAAAACTTAATTCTGATATGAAATTCAGTGATGGTTATGGACCAAACCTCTGTAGAGTAAAAAAAGTAATTGTTAGTTCCACATTTATTGAAAATATATTTCGGTCTGGGTTGACCCTCGTCAGTTCTTGAGATTGTTTCTGTTTTAATCTATGAAGATGAACCTTATATTTCAAAATAATATCAGCATATGATGAGAGAAACAAAAATTCTCTAAGATTTCATCAATATTCCACCATTTTAAGAAATCTTTTAGTTTATCGAAGAAGCTTTTGATTTAAAAAACCGGTTCTTTTTGATAACCTATGTTTGACTGGTATACAGAGAGGAGAGGAGGCGCGATCTTCTGAGGTTTGGGGCCGGAGCCGGTAAACCCTGCCCTCATCTTATTCAAAGGAAAATAGGAAACTCAACTGTGGTCTGTAGAGAGAGGTAAGAAGTAAAGCGCTATTTTATTGAATTGCATGATCCGAACCGGTACAAGTATTTTCTTGTACCGGACTGTCCAATTTACAGACTTTTTATCTGTACAAGATTATAGCATTTACTTACAACGTTTTTTTAGCCAAATTTGGTCCAATCGTTGCATGATCCGAACCATTACAATGATTTACTGGTCTAGCATAATAGTTCTGGATATGCCTTCACTCGTATCGGCTGGTCCAGTGCACCCAGTGTGTAGTCGACCCAGCACGTATTTTGCACAACAGATAGGCTGGCTGGATCTATGTGCTAGTGTATTTCTTCTGATAACAATTTGTTTGTTAGAAATTAGCCTAAGCGTCGAATTTATCTCATTGGAAAAAGGTTTTTGGTTAAAATTTCCCGAAAATCAAATGCTTTTAAACAGTCTAATAATTAGTTTCGGTTTCTCCACTCACAAATTATTAATTGCTTTGCTTCCTATACACCATAGCAAAACAAGTGCCTCACTCCGAGATTCATAATGCGGAAAAGTTCTGCTTCGTTTACATTTTTCAATCCGTATGGGGCTAACCGGTCAATTAATCAATTTATATTAATTGGTTCTCTGGACTTCGTTACAGATAAATTATTAATTGTTTAAGTATTTGGGTGTTAGCTGCTTGAACCTTTTAAGAATTTGTCTAGGGGGTGGCTTCAGGTTTTTCTTTCCTGATGGGGCCTAAAACCTCTCTGAAATGTATGCACGGGGGAGGGGCTGAGTCTACATAGCAACCTTGTGTTAGGTTCTGGTTGTTGTGATATAAATAAATTCAATAAAATTTTTTCTAACTGCAATAATGATATGGTTAGACTCCTGTGGAGTTCACTTCATTATAAAGATAATAAATTTTTTAAAAAGAAAATAAGGTCGGTGCAGGGGAGGGATGAAGGAATGAAAAGGATGTGTTGATTTAGGATTCTTGATGGTGTAGAAAAAAATGGGGGAGGTGAACCATCAGAATAAAAGGTTAAGGTCAAACTTGTGTTTGTGCAAGCCGCCCTTCCTATAGGTTCTGAATTTTCCCTTAACTCCCCCCTAGTCCCCCCTAGTCCCCCCTATTGTTTTCAAATGAATTTTAAAACTACAGATGTAAAGTTTATGACCCGAAAATTACGAGCTAAATCTGACAAAAACAAGCAGGATGTTCAATGTATGAAATTATATTTCTTTTTTAATTATACACATCAAGTTTTAAAGTAAAATTTGCAACTTTTACTGGGGAATTATTTTTTAACCCCCCCTAGTGAAAAGTTTGCCTTACTTTATTTATTACGTTATAATAGCAAAATATTTTTGAGGGAAAACTCCATCTAAATTTTGTTTTATTTGTTTAAAATTCAACTGTTGTACAATGCAGTACTGCATGCACTGCATTGCTGGAAGGGTATTTTTATTTGTCTATGTAAACTAACAATTTGTTTTCACTCTTTAGATAGTTATTTTTTAACCAATCATTAGCGAGCAGCAAAATAACCAGCCGATGAAGAAAAATAAGTTTCTCAGATGCGCCTATCCGATGTCATGCTATTTTGTACATCATACCTTACAGCAAGCTATAACCATATAAGCAATTGCGCTTTGCAGTTTGAGTTGTTTCCAAATCTACGGTTTTCTTCTACTAAAGTACATTAGTGTAAAGTAAACAAATATTGTTAATATTTAGGTTTATCTGTAAATGTTTATATTCAAGTTTATCTGGAAAGTTTATATATTCAGGTTTATCTGTAAATGTTTATATTTAGGTTTATCTGGAACTGTTTATATTAAGGTTTATCTGGAAATGTTTATATATCCGGGTTTATCTGGAAATGTTTATATCCAGGTTTATCTGGAAATGTTTAAATATCCGGGTTTATCTGGAAATGTTTATATATTCAGGTTTATCTGGAAATGTTTATATATTCGGGTTTATCTGGAAATGTTTATATATTCAGGTTTATCTGGAAATGTTTATATATCCGGGTTTATCTGGAAATGTTTATATATTCAGGTTTATCTGGAAATGTTTATATATTCAGGTTTATCTGGAAATGTTTATATATTCAGGTTTATCTGGAAATGTTTATATATCCGGGTTTATCTGGAAATGTTTATATATCCAGGTTTATCTGGAAATGTTTATATTCAAGTTTATCTGGAAATGTTTATATATTCAGGTTTATCTGGAAAGTTGGATCCTGGAGTGATTGTTTGATAGAAGAAGGGCTAGAGGAGGATCAGGGTAGAGGAGAGGAGGGGGCGGGGAAGGGGTGTGGTGGAGGGATCAGGATTAGGAATGCAACCTGCCTGGATACAGAGGCGGGGAAACCAGCCCCGCCCCATCTCTGCACTTCGAAGAATCAACCGTTTACTCATCCATTGGTCGAGAGGTAAAAATTTTACTAATATAACAATTAGCATATTTTATGTCATTTAGAGGTTTGGCATTGGAGGCCGGGAATGAAGTGATTAGCTGCCTTTATCATTATCCCGTTTATCCGTATTCCGTATCATTATCAGTATTATTATCATTATCATTATAATTAATAGTTTTCCCCTCTCATGATGATCCTGCCTAGCTATTATTCTAATATTTAGTTTGTCAATACTAATCCATTCATAATATTCTATTATCTGTTAAGATTGTAAGATATAGGAATATTTTTCTTTAAATAAATCAATCGATAATAGGCCAAAAAATAAACAATCTATGCATCGTCGTGTTATCTGATTTTGTAGCTTAAAGCAGTAGATTTTAAAACTGAGAAACACTATACTTTTTAACGTATATACATATGAAAAATATACATTTTAACGTAGATACATATTAATCCGAAATTCTTGCCTGACCTAAGAAATCATCTGAGCTGAAAACTTTAGAATGGTGGATATCGAGATCAATGCTTGATCCACTCTTTTTCTTAATCTCCAGATTAAATAATGCTCGTTTTTCTCATGAATTTAATCTCCAGATTAATTAACTGATCGGGATTAAAGATATCACATTCTAAAGTTTTGAGCTCTTAGCTGGAAACTTTAGAATGGTGGATATCAGGATTAATGCTTGATCCACTCTTTTTCTTAATTTCCAGATTAAATATGGCTTGTTCTCCTCATGAATTTAATCTCCAGATTAATTAACAGATCGGGATTAAGGATATCACATTCTAAAGTTTTCAGCTCTGATTCAGATTCAGATTTTTTCTCAATTTGAGAATTCTCCAAATAAAATTAGGAAAATCTGCGAAATATTAGCACAGATTAAGAAATCCTAATCATTTAAATGGTTCGAAATAAAAATATTTACTGTATTATAGCCAAGTAAACCTCTTTTATACATTGAATATGAAATCTAGTGGAATTTATCTAGTTTAATATTATGCAGGGTTTAAAGTAAACATTGGTGCGGTCAATTTCATATCATACAGGGTGTACAAGAAAAAATATTGACATTAAATGTAAAATTAGTTTCTTTAATATCTTAATGCTGAAAATTTATATGGTTAATATTGTACAGGCTTATAAAGGTTTTGGTGTTTATTCTGTATACTGTATATTATCTATTTTGTCTTGTTTGGAGTTTATTCTGGTCCCCCCTGTATACTGGATATTCTCCATTATGTCTGGTTTGGGGTTTATTCTGGTTCTCCCTGTATACTGGATATTCTCTGTTATGTCTGGTTTGGAGTTTATTCTGGTTCCCCCTGTATACTGGATATTCTCTTTTATGTCTGGTTTGGAGTTTATTCTGGTTCCTCCTGTATACTGGATATTCTCTATTATGTCTGGTTTGGGGTTTATTCTGGTTCCCCCTGTATACTGGATATTCTCTATTATGTCTGGTTTGGAGTTTATTCTGGTTCCCCCTGTAAACTGGATATTCTCTATTATGTCTGGTTTGGCAAGTTTTCAACCTTTATAGTATATTAATCAGTTGGATAAAACTTTGACAAACATTATTCTGTCAAACAGTGCAGAGTATACACAGGTTCAGGGACTGGTCTCCAGATTTGATCATGTTATGAGATGACAAGAGAATAGAACTCATACATTTTGTAAATAAAATGGACTTAGCTAGGCTTTAAAAAGCTGCTAAAACTTGCCATTTATATCAACAAAAATATAGTTTTTCCGATATTTCAAAGCATTTTTATTCTGTTCTAAAATTAAAAGAAAATAATTGGATTATATACACTAACAAAATTAAAGTACATTTATTATTCCTAGGGTGTTTTCCACAAAAAAGTTCACTCATTGATTTATAACTTTCAGTTCATTAAAGTTTTTGAAATTCTTTTATACAAAATAAAATTATTTATAATCTTGAATAAATTAAGATATTAAAGGCTAAGATTAGCATGCTCCTTGGATATTACCCAGGCTTATCTATTATTTAAATTCCTGCTAATTCAGCAAATTTAAAGATTAACTATGCTTTTAAGAATTCTCGGTGCAACTAGAATACTAGAAATTCTTTATATCACCTAGAAATCTAGAAACTTTTACGCGAAATCGAATTAAAAAAACGCAAAATTTACTAGAAAATTGTTGTTTTCTGAGTTAACACTTAATAAAGTTTTGACTCTTGAGGGAAAGATTAGTTTACTTGTGAATGTGAATTTAAGTTGAAAAATTAAGGTTTTATGAATGATACAAACTTGCGCGCGCAAGCTTCAAAAGTTCTAATTTTCATATCTTTGCAATCTTATAAACTATAAAGTTTACTTATGAAGTCTTCATAAAAATCATATGTTTATGACACTAGGTTCCAAAGATATAAGATCCGAATAAAAGAGTATGCAGTGAGTGTTCATTTCCTTTGTTTATAATAAAGGAAAAGAATGTGACTGGTTAGAATGTACTTCCTTTATGTATTCATTATATTCACTATACAGAGTTAGCATATATACACCTCAGGGATTAGAGGGATATATGTATATAAATGGAATCAGAGAGTACTAGTAACTACAGGGAATTCAAGGATTAAAGATGAAGAAGAGAGACAGGGGCGTATACGGGATGAGGGGGCTTCAATTTAGTTTTCTATATCTTGGGGAGGGNGATCAGCACCTTTTGTGACCTGAAACTCCCCCCAAAAACATTGCTATTTGGTTGTATTTTGTTATTACGTACGTTAACATAATGTTTCCGTGTTTTTCTCCAAACTATTTCCTGTACAGGTTCAACCCTCTCAAACTATTTCCTGTACAGGTTCAACCCTCTATAGTATACAATATTCAAAAGGTTGGAGTGATCTCGACTTTCTCTCCATTTTGAAACTGACATACCTGATTTACAATAGCTCAATACTATTTAAATTTTCGTCTGAGTAAAAATAACGAAGATATTCTCGTTTTTCGAACTAAAAATTTATAATTTGCAATTGTTATTTCTCTATGTAAGTTACTTGAGGATTTATGAAGCAGAAACAGAGAAGAAAATTGACAGAATTCAAAAAGAATGAAAACTATGAAATATGAGGAGGAGGAGAGGAGGAGCACTGCGATTGAAAGGTCTCACGCAGCACGCTCTCAAGCAAAAATCGAAGAGAAAGGAATTGAGTCGTTGAAATATCAAAGGTATACACCATCAGGTTGATAAGATATAGGGATTAGAAAATTTGAGGTTGTGGCAAAGACTCCATTCCTTTGCCAATTACTGCGGAAAAATCAAAGCTAACAACGAGTGCTTTACAGTGCTAAAATGTATACATCTACAGATATACAGAAAAGCATAATTGTGAGTTAGAGTGGTAAAATCAAAGTCCAAGGCGTTGCGAAACTTCAAAGTCGACCCTGTTTTAAAAACAGATGAGACTCTTCATAAGCGGGATGAATCTTGTAGGAGGTGGAGGGAGAAATTGTTTTTTAAGGAGTGATTTAGGAAGTATTAGAGAGGGATTAGAGGTTGTCCGCCAGCTATGTCGATAATCCGCCAAAAATATTTTCATAATTTCTCACAGTACGTTTGAGGTTACTAACAACACTTATTATTGAAACTATAAACGTCTGATAGAGTTATCTTGTTAATTCTCAATAGGTTTTAAAATATCTGCAATGGTTGTTGACATTTTTTTCATAAAATTATGATAAAAGCTGAATTTTCTTTTTCTTGATTTATGTCAATTTGTGCAGATGAGTTTTCCATCAGCGACGAGAATTTGGATAAAATATGACAATGGTTGATCATTTTCAAATATCGTCGCTTTCATGGACCGATCTATTCCATTTACTTGAGGGTTCAGTTGGGTAAACTACAGGGTTATCCAAAAAAGATGAGACTTTGAAGACAACCTAGATTTTATTTATTAGTGAAACTTTTTCATATTTTTCTGCATACATTACTCGAAACAAAAAAGCAAAAATGTTACTGAGTATTAAAATTAAGAAAAAAAATCTTTTTTTTAAATTTGTATAAAAAAACTTTAGTATATATATATATATATATATTTAAGTATATAGAAAACTTTACAACAGTAGAATTTTGACATCTGCAAATTTAAAAAAGTGCAACTTAAACAAAAAAAAACTGAAAAAGAATGAAAGATCTTTACGCAAATTAAGAATACTTTTTATGAACGGAAAGTTTTTTTGTGGCCGACATAAATGAGCACTAATTCCTAACTCTCCCATTAAAATATTCCTAACTATACTTGTCGTATAGACCAGATTTTGTTTAAAGAGGAGTATCTTCTCTATACGTAAAAACCTCTATATTTTTGTAACCAGAACTATTTCAGTGCATTCACTGATAGAATAATACAGCTGTTATACAAATCATTTATTTCAAGATAAGAAGACAGAAATAAATGATAACGACCTTTCCAAGGAGGTTGTGCAGGTTGACATCTCTAATTCTTCTATACTCCGAACTCCTTACTGTACTGCAGGGACCCTGGAGAAGGATAAATTATATACATAGAATCCTGATTGTAAACCGGTATATGTACAGTGTATACTGTACAACAATAAAACTGATTCAAATACTTCAGTTTGCACTAACCTGCGCTGCAACTCTTATATCAGAATTAATATTCAGGTATACAATTATCTGATATACTCGCTCATCTTCTCATGAAAACATATTCGAAAGTCTATATTTCTATTCACTATTATAAGTTTTATAGCGCTGAGTTCGATAGTAAATACAGGTCCATTCAAAAACCATTACTCTCTAACAAGAAACAAACAAATTCATATTTATTCTATTATTTAGAATCACTGGTAGAGTAGAGTGGGCGTTCCTCTCTCCCCCTCCCCCCCTTCATACTTCGTCTCTCTGCGTCCTGAGAGCGGGGGGAGAGAGAATATTCACACATTATATTCAATTTCTTATGTATTGTACAGCTTGTACAACAATACTGTAAGTCTATATGAATGAAAAGTTAATGTACATTATATGGCCAAAGGATTATCTTTTAACATATAACTAATGTTTCTTACATGATAAAACCATTTTATCCTCTCTCCTGCTCTTGAATTATTCATCCTCTTCTATATACCTCCTGACACCATCTACAAATCTGAATTAGAGGAGGGGGAGCCACATTCTGACTCATTCCATGCAATATCATCTTATTGTCCGTGTTTCGCTACCAGCGAATACATGTACCTTGTGACTTTCTGTGATGGTTTGTCGTAACCTTTTCTCCCTTTTCTCGCACTCACTATGAATCCAGGCAAGAGTTCAGGAATATATTTCAGCGGTTCAACTAGGAAAAACACAACTAGAACTCCATATTCTTTTTACTTTTTATATATTTTTTATACAGGAAAAAACCCTTTTAAACGCAAAGACATGAACAAGATGAAAAATAAAATACAAATACTGTTAAATTAATCAAAATAGGGCTAAAAAAACCTGTACGTTTACTTTACAGAACAAATACAATATATATTTTAATAAATCTAGCGTAGCTTACCATATTGAGCCTCCACATCAAGTCACATTTCGATTTAACAGACAGTATATATGGCGTCTTACAAAACGTTTTAAGATCGAAATTCAACTGCCCGAAAAGTGTACGCTAGATTTATACTATAAACAAGTTCTTAGAAACCGGCTTCTGGAAACTTCTGTCCGCTCATAGTACGAAGACTCAGGGGTACTTCAGAATCTCTTCAGCGCAACCACACAGGGGCCATCATCTTTATAGAACATTACATACGTGACGTGGTCGCGTAACAGTCCGAGCCACCTTAAGAAGATGGTCTTTTCTAGGATCACTCTATTTCACTATCTGTTGAGCCTCATTTTCTGGTCCCTATATCTTTGCAACACAATGTTGTAGACCTTGGACATTTTAAACTTTGAATTTTGTTAGATCAGCTATAATCTAAGTTTAAAATATTAAAGGTTTATACCATCAGCTTGCAAAGATATAGAGATTTTAGTTTGTTGCAAAACTCAAATCCTTTGAATGGTTGAGGTGGCACAGACATGAGGAATGAGAAGCATGTGGGTTGAGGTGGCACAGACATAAGGAATGAGAAGCATGTGGGTTGAGGTGGCACAGACATGAGGAATGAGAAGCATGTGGGTTGAGGTGGCACAGACATGAGGAATGAGAAGCATGTGGGTTGAGGTGGCACAGACCTGAGGAATGAGAAGCATGTGGCTCGAACCCATAATTTGTAACTCCTCATTTTAGTTATGAAGGATTCAAGTCTAAAAATGCAGTTTATTTAAGGATATGTGTAGTGCAGTAATTCTCCCACATAAACTGTAATCAAACTGAGACTTATTCTGTTTATATTACTTTTACAAACTGTGGTACACTATTCTTGTACACTGGTTTTATGCATCTACTGCTGGGGACTACAGTCGCAAATAAAATTGCGTCTCTGTGTTTAAAAAGTGAGATGTTGGTAACTTAAAAAGCGTTTTATGAAAGAATAATAATCAATGTTTGTCTTTTCAAAATTCATTATTTTTATTTGTGGTGTCTCTATATAAAAAAGTGACTTGCTCATTTCTGATACAGAAACAATAGAGGAAATGTTCAGAATTTACTTTTTAAGGAAAAAAATGACATATCTTACATATGATTGATCAGATGAAGGTTCAAGGAGCACCATTGTGAATCAGACATGAACCTCTTTAAATAAGGTTTACTTAAAAGTATACCAGTCACATTCAGTTAAAATAAAAGAATTCTCTAGTCTGATTTTGTGTTTCTATTGTTTTGTTTCTTCTTTTGAGCTCCCCACTTCTCTGGTTTGGTAGAAACAATAGCATGAATATTTATTGCGTGCTCAGGAAAATATAATAAAAAGTTGCTGTAAATAAAAAACAATACAACAGCGGCGTATACACTATAGGGGGGGGGGGGGCAGAAGCTCCTGAAGAATTAACACTTACTTCTTTAAAATCATTAAACCACAGGAAGTAGGAAAAACAGTTAGTTGAAAACTTATAAGAAGTTGGAAAACTTAAAGAAGTTGAATTGAAAACTTAAAGAAGTCAAAAACTTAAAAACAGTTGAAAACTTAAAAGAAATTGAAAACTTACAAGAAGACGAAAACTTAAAAGGAGTTGAAAACTTAAATGAAGTTGAAAACTTAAATGAAGTTGAAAACTTACAAGAAGTTAAAAACTTACAAGAAGTTAAAAACTTAAATGAAGTTAAAAACTTAAATGAAGTTGAAAACTTAAATGAAGTTGAAAACTTACAAGAAGTTGAAAACTTAAAAGAAGTTGAAAACTTACAAGAAGTTGAAAACTTAAAAGAAGTTGAAACCTTGCAAGAAGTTAACAGTTGAAAACTTAAATGAAATTGAAAACTTAACAGTGAAATAAAGTAGGGGAAAGTGAAAGAAAGTAGTGAAAATGAAAGAAAGTAGGAAAGTGAAAGAAAGTAGGAAAGAGAAAGATAGTAGTGAAAATGAAAGAAAGTAGTGAAAATGAAAGAAAGTCGGGAAAGTGACAGAAAGTAGTGAAAATGAAAGAAAGTAGGGAAAGTGAAAGAAAGTAGGAAAGAGAAAGATAGTAGTGAAAATGAAAGAAAGTAGTGAAAATGAAAGAAAGTAGGGAAAGTGACAGAAAGTAGGGAAAACTGACGAGGTTGAAGACTATAAAAAGTAAGTCTAGTATTAAGAAAACAAGTATCATGAAGTAGGACAAGTATCTGTTCTAGATAAAGAAGGTTTCTATTTGAAAATTTGTATTTTGTTGAAAAGATTGATGTTTTACAGTATTTATAAATCTGTAAATTGATTCTAGAGTTGTCTACTTGTCTACTCAAGGGATGTATTTGAAAGGAAACTATTCCGTTAAACGAGCATCCTTCTATATCTATGTATTGGCATTTATTTTGTAAACCAGCTTGGATGGGGGGAGGGCACCGGCCAGCTATGGAGGGGGAGGGGACATAAATTTGAGATAGAAAAAATATTTAGCAAAATTACTAAATTTTTTTAAAGTTTTTCAAGTTGTTTGTAAAGTGGCGGTTTCTGCTTTTTTTCCCATCCTGGCCTCGGTATAATGCTTATTTCCAAGAAAAGAAAAATCATTTGAAGTAAAAACAAATTAAATTTTAACTTCCTTATAAATGTAATGATTTTGATCATGATCTGCAGAGTAGAATTTCATGTTTGCTTCAACATTAGTTATTATTGATTCGTATTTGCTTGAAGCTTTGCAATTGTTAAATGTCAAATCAACACATCTCATCAAAACTCAGTAAAGTTTATAAATTACGCAAAAACTATAAAACAAGTTTATAATCTCATAAAATTCATTTATTTTAGAACATCTTTGATTGGTTAAAAATCAAACTTTATGAAATATTATGTATTTTTTTTATTTCGGATAATTTTGCCTTTTCTCTGTGTCGTGTATAGGGACTCACTTAAAATCTTACTTAAACCGCGTAATTTGAAAACCTTACATACATAGCATATTTCAGTACAAAATATTTAATATGAAGAAAATTTTTCTTTGCCAAGCCCTAGGTTCATGTAGTCGTTATATTTAAATATGTTAGAAATAAAAACATGAAATATGAGTGTTGGGCTCTGAATTTCTATTAGAGGTATAATATATCACTGGGAATCTTGGTTTAAGCTTCCCTAGCTGTAACAATATACTCCGATATATAAACAATATATTTAGAAACCATATATTATATAGATTTAAGAAATGAACAAGCTAGTATGTCCATCTTATCAAGGAATAAAAACATGTCTAATTTACAACGCAATCCCTACAAAATTTGACAAAGAAAAAATATTGGAGTTATCCTTGATTTTCAATTTTAAAACTTGATGATTTTCAATTGCAGTCTCTACAAGCGTGGTGCAGATTTATGATGCTAAAGCAAGGAAGGAAATTAATATAATCTTCCTTTATTGCCGATATTTTTTCTCAATGTTAATCAGATAAATATTCTAAAGGGCATTTTTAAACTGCATTTTTGCTGTTATAACATAAACCTTCTTTATTATCTTAAAATATATGTGTTTACTCCAGGTGCAGTAAACCCTGTGAGGAGACCTGTAAAGTTGGGAGTTGGAGCATATGGAGTTCTTGTCAACCTGACTCTTGTTTATCTAAACCTACTGGACCTGTACATGGTTAGTATATATATACTGGAGTTCTTGTCAACCTGACTCATGTTTATCTAAACCTACTGGACCTGTACATGGTTAGTATATATATACTGGAGCTCTTGTCAACCTTACTCATGTTTATCTAAACCTACTGGACCTGTACATGGTAAGTATATATATACTGGAGCTCTTGTCAACCTGACTCATGTTTATCTAAACCTACTGGACCTGTACATGGTTAGTATATATATACTGGAGCTCTTGTCAACCTGGCTCATGTTCGTCTAAACCTACTGGACCTTATGGATAGTATATGTACCGGAGCTCTTGTCAACATATATATACATTATTCCAATGAAAGTAGATAAAGGAGAATTCACAAATGTACCACTGTGCATAGTTTCATTCATATTCTTACCCCTGTATAAGACCAGTATGGCATTGATTACTATAGTCTCATTCAACAAATAATAAATAGTATCATTTTTATTATTTATTATAGTCAAATTATATATAATTTTCTTCAATGTAAGACTAAATCCTGGACTAAAAATAAACATTAATACCCTGCAAACTTCACTGAAAAGGGGAATGTACTTTGAACAGAACCTGAACCTGAAACCTTCAGCCGTTAAACCTAAACCCATAATCCTAAACTCTAAATCCTGAAAAAAAATCCTATACCTTAAAACCCGAAACCCTCTGAACCCCCAACACCCTGAACCCCTGAACAACTGAACTCCTGAGCCCCAGAACTCTTGAACTAATAAACCATGATCCCATGAACCCATGAACCCATAAACCCATGAACCCTGAACCCTGAACCACTTGAACTCTTGCACCACTAAACTATTACACCACAGAACTCCTAAACCACTGTACCCTTGAACTCTTGAACCCCTGAACCCCTGAATCCCTGAACCCCAGGACTCATAAACCCCTAAACCACCTAATCCTTAAACCCGCTTACCCCTGAACGACTGAACCCCTGAACCCCTGAAAGCTTGAACCCCTGAACCCCTGATTGGAATGTATCCTGACAAGAGTAAACTAAATGAAATGTTTCATGGGCGGTATCTTTTAACGTATATCCTCACTTTTCTTGAAACTAAATCATTCCTTTAATCCTTTATTTCAAGGTTTTGCAAAGATAAATTATTTCTAAATAATAAGGGGATATTTCATAATTTTATATATATTGTACTAATAGGCTTATAGGCTTCTCAAATGAATTGAGTCTTTGTCACAAACCTTGATTTTCTAATTCTTAAATCTTCCTAACCTAATGTCGTAGACCTTGGATATTTCAAACTTTGAATTCTGTTGGATCAAAAAATCTAAGTTTGAAATATCAAGAGTCTACACCCTAAGGATGCCAAAATATAGGGATTAAAAAGGTTGAGTTTGTGGCAAAAACTCAATTATTTTTCGCGTATTTTCTGTTTTATAAGGTGCATTTTCGAGAATTTTTTTGTGGCAACATTGTTCAACTTCGCCGAACCATAAACATTCCCCGGGGTCCTGTCAGTTTCCAGAAAACATTTGACTCCGATGGGTTCAGCAGTTTTGACGTTTAATGGAAACAGACAAACACAAGAACATCCACCCAAAGTTGCTATTGATTTTTTTCTCTTAAAAGAACTGAGTTTTTGTCACAAACACAAATTTTCTAATTCCAATATCTTTTCAATCTGATAGTGTAATCCTATGATATTTCAAACTTTGATTATTTGGTCTAACGGAAATCATAGTTTGAAATATCGAAGGCTTACGTCATCAGTTTGCAAAGAATTAGAAATTAGAAAATTTAAGTTTGTGGCTAAAACTCAATTCCTTTCCTGTATTTTTATCTATTTGTCTACATAATTGAGAAATAACGTTAATGGGGTTAATTAGTCAATTACTTTATTCCACAGAGTATTAAGAAGGGAAAATAAAGATCATATAACATGTAATCAACTAACATATGCTTGCTCTTCAGCATGACTATTGAAAATATGTACTAAAAACGCCCAGAGTTTTTAAATTCGTAAAATTATATTTATAAAAGGTAACCCGTGGCCGAATTTAGAGAATTTGAGCGGCGGTTTAAATTTAAGCCGCTGCTTATATATGGTTGGTTCCACTTAAAATTGTATCAATTGTTTCAAGATTTAAGCCCGCGCTTAATTTAAACCGGGTTTTGGCAGATTTAAACCGCGGCTCAAATTCTTTAAATTCCATCTCGGGAAATCTTTAACTGGGTAAAATTAAGAAAGATAACATCGTTTTTCTATCTTAAGAAGGAAAATTCTGAAATGTTTTCAATTAAATCCGTAAATCAATTTGACTGAGAAACTATAATTGAAAATATTTATTTTCTGATTGAAAAACAATGCATAAAATGGTTTTGTCATAAAAAAAGTGTTTGTCTAAATTTTCTTTTTATTGTTGTAGGATATCAGATCCGTCGGAGGGAGATGATAAACCTACGAGGAGATGAGAACTCTTGTCCTGCTCTGGAGGAGGTTAGATCCTGCTCCGTATCCTCCTGCTACCACTGGGTTATCCAACCCAAGGAGGAGTGTCAGCTCCCTGTAGAGGCAACCCAACCCTGTGGAGCAGGATTCATGTCCCAAAAAGTCTCTTGTCTCCGATGGGACGGATCAGAAGTGACGGATACATCTCTCTGCGGTCCTGGGACACGACCCCGTGAGCGAGTGGAATGCCATGTCCCGTGTCCCAATGACTGTATTGTGTCCGGATGGTCTGATTGGTCTGTATGTCCCAGTTTGTCCTGTGAAAACCTAGAGATGCATCCTAGGATACCCTTGAGACAGAGGAACAGAACTATTCTAGCAATAGCAGGCAAAGACGGACAGGTAAACACTCCCCACTATATATAGAAAGTTTACAGGGACTGATCTCTCTACTCAAACTCTAACTTTCTTATCTTTACATCTTTGTATGAATTTTGCTGGATATTGTCAACTTTGATATTTCAACGGTTATGAGCCAAACTAAAGATTATAAATTAGAGATTAGTTTCTTTACAGTAACAATATTCACAAAGTAACCTTTGCTCATGCTAAAAGTTTTTTAAAGATTGTTGTTTTTTGTTAATAATGATGTAAAACGATAGCGGGTTTCATTTGCCTGAGCGTTTAACGACTGTTTACAAGTTTTGAAATTTTATTAAATTTGAGAAAAGCTCACTAATATTTTTTAGAAGAGATCTTTCGTTTCATGATCATGATTATTCCAAAATCCAACTATGATTCTTCTAAAAATACATACCTTATTTGATAATCAAGTACAGTCCCTTATGTTTTCCTGAATTATGTAAACTTATAAATCAGGATTGTCCCAGCTCCGACTCCCTGGTAGAGATGTCGGCTTGTCCTGAGACCAGCAGAGAGTGTGATACTGTCTCCTGGAGACCACAAGGGTGGGGGGAGTGTCAGCTCCAGCCAGGTAAGAGAAAGGGATTTTCAGCTCCAGCCAAGTAAGAGAAATGGATTTCCAGCTTCAGCCAGAGCTGAAAACTCTAGAATTGGATATCCTTAATCCCGATCGGTTAAATAATCTGAGCTGAAAACTTTAGAATGGTGGATATCGGGATTAAGGCTTAATCCACACTTTTTCTTAATCTGCAGATTAAATATTGCTTGTTCTCCACTCATTTTTAATCTTCAGATAAATTATCCGATCAGGATTAAGGATATCCCATTCAAAAGTTCCCATCTCAGGTAGGAGATATGGATTTCCAGCTCCAGTCAGGAAGGAGATAGGGAATGTCCGCTCCCGACAGTTAGGTGATAGGGAGTGTCAGCTCCAGCCAGGTTAGCCAGGTAGGAGATAGTGATTGTCAGCTCCAGTCAGGTAGAATATAGGAAGTGTCCGCTCCCGTCAGGTAGGCGATACGGAGTGTTAGTTGTATCGAGGTAGGGGGTAAGGAGTGTCAGCTGTATCTAAGTAGGGTATGAGAAGTATCAGATGTATCTAGGTAGGGTATGAGGAGTGTCAGCTGTAGTTAGGTAGGGGATGGAAAGTTTAAGAGTGAGAATGAGATATACAAAAAATTGCATAGATCTTCGATAGGATTAGGATAAACATAGAAAGCTTAATAGAAATAAATTAAATAAATATCCCATCCTTTATTTCAGGTCAAGTGTGTGGTAAAGGACAACAGACTCGTATTGTTCACTGTGCTGATACAAGGGATAGAAGATTACCAGCCTGGAGGTGTAGCAGGCTCAAGACAAGGAGTAGGAGAAGGGGGTGTCAGGTAATACAAGGAGTAGAAGGAGGGAGTGTCCGGTAATACAAGGAGTAGGGGAGGGAGTGACAGGTAATAACTTGTCATTGAACTTTTGACTAAGTTTTCTTTAATAAATCAGTGGATTGACATAACACGACAAACTATACTTGACAACCAGGGAATCTAACTTTTCTAAAATCCTAAAATTCATATCACAAAGATCCAGGCACCTAGGGAAATGATGCATCCATCTTTAAGACCGGGACGACTTAGGAGTGTCGTATATGGCCTTTTATTTTACTTTTGCTACTCATTTATACTTTTTTGTAGCTCAAGACATGTATATTTTAGAACCATAATGGGCGTATTTCGTTTTTTGGCATAAACGCGGGCATTTTCTGGTTCACTGTGCTTACGCAAATATTTGTATAATTACATTTCAAAGAAAGCGTATTGTTAATTTTTCTCCTGTAGTCACCCCAACCCCTTAACGAAATTCTTTCGATTTTCCAGCTTATACCAGCTCATGGGAACCCAGCTTTGCTTGGAGTTTTCCCTAAAAAAGACTTAGAATTTGTAACTCAGGCTTAGAACATTCCCGTGTTTCTCCAGATCCAAATTCAAGGCAAATCGGTCAAAGTGTTCATGAGTTATGATCGGACATACAAACAGACAAACAAACAGAAATGACTACCTTATATATAAAGAGGTGGTAATCCTGACAGTGATAAAATACAAAATAAACTTTGGTTGTTCTTTTTTGGAAAGAAAAAATAGAATAAAATAAGAAATATGAATTCCTAATTTTGTGTTTAAGGTTTTAGGATTCCTGAAGGCTTGCTTTTTAAAAATTAAAAATGTTTTAAAACAGTGGTTTTATTTTTTAGCTTTATTATGGAAAAGTCATCAAGTTGTTATTAATATATTTACTCAATTTTCATCAACAATGTTTTTATTTGATATTCATATATTATTTGATTTACACATTATAAACGAAGTATCGTTGAACCGAATTTAAATAAATTTTAAAAGTTTGTTAATTAACCAAACATGCAAACCCAGGATTTCCTGGCTCATTAGAGAGCTCTGTAATTACCTCCCAGAAACCAACCAGTTTCAAAACTTTCATAATTGTACTTGAAAGAACATTGCCTGAAATATTATGGGGTAATCCCCTCCCCTCATATCTCTAGCAAAAATAGAGGATCATGATAAATTACGTTGTATATTGTCCATCTAGCTAAATGTGCCTATTAGTAAATATGTAAATCATGCATTGTGATTAACCAATTCAATGTACGTAGATATATATAACTCCGTCATACCCAATTGTGATTGCTTAACTATGTTACAAATGACCGCATAACTACACTGTTAAGCTAGACCCAATTCTGATCTAAAATGAAGAAATATAGTTATAGAAATTCCGCTCTGTTTACGGCGAGAAAATAATCGTTCCCTGTTTTGATAAAACAGGTAGAGGATCGTCCCCTTCAATTTGAGATCGATAGTTACGAGCTTACGATTGATATCGATAGCTTAGGAGATTGCACCCAGTGGTAGTGGCGTTAATAGATCACGGATTGTATTCGTGTGGTTCCCTGCTCTGATAAGCAGGTTGAGGATCGTCCTCTTTAATTTGGAATCGATAGTTGCTAGCTTCCAATTGATATCGATAGCTAATGAGATCGCGCCCAGTGGTTGTGGCCTTGATAGATCATGGATCGTACTCGTGTATTGACATTGATAGTCAAGAAATCCTAAGTTGTACCTGGATAGATACTTTCCCAGAAATTGTTATGAAGTAGGCATTTACTACATATCGACCCCCCAAGACCCACCCCCATCCTTGATACCAAAAATTTCGTGAAGGTCGTTTATGTCAACAACAAAATCTGCGAAATATTTAGTTTTGCAATTTAGAAGCAAAATGGCGGCTTGAAATGCAACATTAAAATTTTTACTAGAGGAGGGGGTGCGAAGTGGCCTAAAAATAAAAAAAATAATTATTCCTCTTTTTACAATTCCTCCCCCCCCCCTTTCAATTAGTTTGAAAGATGTCAATATGGTTGTCTTCCCGGGGGAATATACTTGGAATTAAATTTCTCTAAAAACCTGATGGTCCGGTGAGAAATGAGACTTAGAAAACAGTTTTTAAACATTTGAACCTCTAATACATCGTCTACAGATATCCGCAGGTCACTGGGATAAAATGATTTAGCACTGATGAAACTTCAACAAAATTTAAAGCGCAACGTCTCATTTTACAACTTTTGGTCCATAAATGCTTTACGGATTTTTGCGACCAAATGTCATCGACCTTTGATATTTGCTACTAAATTTTCATGGTAATGATAGAGTAAATTTACAACTATGTATTGATGAAGTTGGTTTAGAACTAGGTATTGATGGAGTAGGTTTATAACTAGGTATTGATGGAGTAGGTTTATAACTATGTATTGATAAAGTAGACTTAATAATAGGTATTGATGGAGTAGGTTTAGAACTAGGTATTGATGGAGTAGGTTTAGAACTAGGTATTGATGGAGTAGGTTTATAACTATGTATTGATAAAGTAGACTTAATAATAGGTATTGATGGAGTAGGTTTAGAACTAGGCATTGGTAAAGTAGTTTTAGAACTATAGGTATTGATGGAGTAGGTTTTGAACTAGGATTTTGATGGAGTAGATACTAGGTAATGATGAAGTAGGTTTAGAACTAGGTATTGATGAAGTAGGTTTAGAACTCGGTATTGATAAAGTAGGTTTAATACTAGGTATTGATGAAGTAGGTTTAGAACTAGGTATTGATGAAGTAGGTTTAGAACTAGGTATTGATGGAGTAGGTTTAGAACTAGGTATTGATGGAGTAGGTTCGAGCTAGGTATTGATGGAGAAGGCTTAGAATTAGGTATTGATAAAGTAGCTTTATAACAAGGTATTGATAAAGTAGGTTTAATACTAGGTATTGATGAAGTAGATTTAGAACTAGGGATTGATAGAGTAGGTTCAGAACTAGGTATTGATAAAGTAGGTTTGTAACTAGATTTTTATAAAGTATTTTAGTACTAGGTATTGATGGAGTAGGTTTAGAACTAGGTATTGATGGAGTATGTTTAGAACTAGGTATTGGTGGAGTAGGTTTAGAACTAGGTATTAATGAAGTAGGTTCAGAACTAGGTATTGATGGAGTAGGTTTAGAACTAGTATTGATGGAGTAGGTTTAGAACTATAGGTATTGATGAAGTAGGTTTAGAACTAGGTATTGATGGAGTAGGTTTAGAACTATAGGTATTGATGGAGTAGGTTTAGAACTATAGGTATTGATGGAGTAGGTTTAGAACTAGGTATTGATGGAGTAGATTTAGATCCATAGGTATTGATGGAGTAGGTTTAGAACTATAGGTATTGATGGAGTAGGTTTAGAACTATAGGTATTGATGGAGTAGGTTTAGAACTAGGTATTGATGGAGTAGATTTAGATCCATAGGTATTGATGGAGTAGGTTTAGAACTAGGTATTGATGGAGTAGGTTTAGAACTAGGTATTGATAAAGTAGACTTAATAATAAGTATTGATGGAGTAGGTTTAGAACAAGGCATTGATGTAGTAGGTTTAGAACTAGGTATTGATGGAGTAGGTTTAGAACTAGGTATTGATGGAGTAGGTTTTGAAGCAATAAATCATTCTACATAGTTTTCTTGTTCTTCATCAAACAATCCATTTTCTTCAATTATCTTTCACGGAGTAGTTCTTACGGATAAACTTACATATTTGTGATAAGAGATACGCAGGTATAGATATAGATATAGATATAGATAGACAAGGATATAAATATTTAGCTTAAACTTATTAATTCATGATATTCAGTATTTACATTAAACATTGATGAGGGGTTCAAAAAACATGTGCATTAAGAGATAACATTAAAATCGTCTTCAATCTTTTATAATCAATGATGACTTCAGCTTTTCAAAATAATGCCGAATAAATTCTAGACGAATTAGAAGTCGTAAATTAAATTCCATGTTTATTTTGACACCTTTTTTAAGTTCAAGAACTTTTACAGGATAACCTTTAAACGTGTACAAACTCAGGATGAAGTACAGAGTTAACTTTATGTTTAATTTTGTCATGCATAAAGTCTTTTAATGGTACATTTTTATTTTTCCAAAAAGTGTAGGGTAGACGGTGCAAGATACCATATATATAAGGAAGAAGAGTGAATTAAAGTCGTCACAGAACTTCTAAAGTTTCATTACTAATGGATAACCCTGCATTTAGCAATAAAAAAAACTTATTATAGTCAGAGTTTTAACCTATAACCTGAAGACATTATACGGACCTGCCCTTAATATTGCCCTTTGAAAAGTACATTTTAATTAAACATGTTCAATGTGTACACCGTACTGAATTAACATCCTTGTATAAAAAATCTGAGAAAGTAAAAAAATGAAGGGATATGTTCCTTAATTCAATATTCATTGCTTTTATCGATTTGTTTTGCTAATAATGAATAATTGAGGAGAAATCATATTTGACAGAATTGTAATTCAACATGATTGCCAGAGTATCAGAACACAATCAAATCCAATTAAACAGAGTGTCATTCAAGTGTCCCTCCTTCACCCCTCCCCTTCCCTCCCCTTCCCTCCCCTTCCCTCCCCTTCCCTCCCCTTCCCTCCCCTTCCCTCCCCTTCCCTCCTCTTCCCTCCCCTTCCCTCCCCTTCACTCCCCTCCCCTTCCCTCCCCTTCCCTCCCCTTCCCTCCCCTTCCCTCCCCTTCCCTCCCCTTCCCTCCCCTTCCCTTCCCTTTCCTTCCCTCCCCTTTCTTTCTTCCTTTCTTAATTATTTGATTGGTTAATTGATTGATTGTTTGATGATTGATTGATTAGATTGTATGCCCTGTGAACTGTGAGGTATCTGACTGGACAGACTGGTCTAAATGTCCAGATCTCTGTCAGAAAGGATCTTCAGAGGGCGGAGTCCTTCTTATGGAAACACAGGTAAAAATAAGTTAACACTGAGCATCTATAAACCAGAGCTGAAAACTTTAGAATTGAGGATATCGAGATCAATGCTTGATCTTCCCTTTTTGTTAATTTCAAGTTTTTATCTACAAAAGTATATGTAACTCAACCAATCAACAGCCAATCAGAGAAGCTGGGAAATTAAAAAATTTGCACACCATTTAATGAGTGAACTCTCATTGTCGGTAACTGGCAAAGAGAGAAAAAGAATGAAAAACTGGATAAAGAAGGAAATTAAAAGTGTCCACATTGGATATTCAGATTAAGCGATCGGGATTAAAGGTATCCAATTCTATAGTTTTCAGCTCAGATCATATAAAATTTAAGAACATGATGAAAATCACAAAAAGATTGAATTATTACAAGAGAAATCATTATCTAATTTTTGCTGAAAATTATCTATATAAAGTAAAGAAAAAAATCAGCAAAAGCATATAAATAAAAAAATTGGTAAATATTTATCTAACAAATTTTTTATGATTTTAGAGACGAGAGCGAATCATTCTTGAAGAATCGCAACACGGAGGAGATCAGTGCCCACCCCTAGTTCAGGTAAATATATAGAACATTGCCCACCCCTAGTTCAGGTAAATATATAGAACATTCCCCCCCCTTAGTTCAGGTAAATATATATAACATTTCCCCCCCCCAAGTTCAGGTAAATATATATGTTTCGCTACTTAGCGAATTCCCTAAAGACCTAATGAAATCTATAAGTACCGAGTGGTATTTCTCTGGATAGGATTGTAAGGCTTCCTTCTCTCAACGCTCTCCATAACACAAGGATGATAATAAGGTTCCGAACGTTTATTTCTCTAAGCCTTCAATCTAAATANAGAACATTGCCCACCCCTAGTTCAGGTAAATATATAGAATCAGTACAATATAAAGGTATTGACCACCACAAGTTCAGGATTTAATGTTCAGATATTTTTAACGTCTCATGAACTTTCTTAGAGAATCTCATGCACAAATAACAAATGTATTCGTTTAATATTAAGAGTTTGATTTGTGAATGTTCTTCAGGTCCGACCCTGTCCTTTGCTAGCTGGAAGCTGTAAGCAGGCCAGGTGGTCCCCAGGTTCTTGGACAAACTGTTCATTAGCTCCAGGTCTATCATGTGGGGAGGGGTTGAGAACTAGATCACTTTCATGTATCAGGTTGGTTATTATTATTATTTGTTATAGTTACTATAGTACTATTAGTAGTTATAGCACTAGTTATAGTAATATTATCTTTACTATTATCATTATTATTTTTATTATTATTATTTTTATAACTATTACTTTTGTAATTACAATTATGATTCCTACTGTTATTATTATTATTATTATTATTATTATTATTATTATTATTGTTGTAGATCTGGTCTAAGTCTCCCCCTCGTAGAATGTATATCTACTGGTCAACCTACCCCGACCCAGGTAGAAGCTTGTCATATTGACTGCTCTGGATCCTGTATTCTCTCCAGCTGGTCAGCCTGGTCATCCTGTCCTACAGCTTGCGGGTCAACACGCTCCAGACAGAGACATGCTATAGGTAACAAGATATTCTAACTTGACAGTCATTTGACACCAGATTTTCCCATTTTATATTTTCTGTTTGGATATTATGTTCTGATAAATTAGAAAAGCTTGAGTTTTTTATGAACAATTACTTTTTTAAACAATTGAAAATTTACTTCTCCTTTGTTTGGCTTTCTTCTCTGCGCTGTGTATGTTTTGTTGGTAGAATTAATGCTTGAAAGCACTGTAGACGCAATTTCAAGTGACTTTACATTTCTAGAGTGACATGTCTGATAGACAATGGTACCATTAAAAGATCTGTCTGATAGACAATGGTATCAATATAAGATCTGTCTGATAAACAATGGTATCAATATAAGATCTGTCTGGTAGACAATGGTATCAATATAAGATCTGTCTGATAGACAATGGTATCAATATAAGATCTGTCTGATAGACAATGGTACCAATATAAGATCTGTCTAGACAATGGTATCAATATAAGATCTGTCTGATAGACAATGGTACCAATAAAAGATCTGTCTGATAGACAATAGTACCAATAAAAGATCTGTCTGATAGACAATGGTACCATTAAAAGATCTGTCTGATTTAGAAAGCATGTAAGATACCTTGATCTTCTCTTTGCATATCGATAATTTTCAATTTTGGTTTTTTTATAAAGTTAAAAAGTTGCTTTCTTCTTCTCTGCTTCAGAAAAATGAAGGAAATAGTCAGAATTAAACAGTTTTCAAGTTGGATAGTTGGATAATCAGATATAGGTTACAAGAGTGCCGTTCTGCATCGGACATGCCATGCCTCTCTTTAGAAATATAAAATATAAAATGGAAATGTTGGAAATAATTTAACTTAAATGTAAAGGTTAAAAATCGGTTAATTAATTTAATTGATCATTTTTAAATGGATAAAATTTATGTCTATGAACATTACTTCATCACTGAATTGAAAAATAACAAACATATCTAGAGCTAAAGGAAATATCTCTGCAACTGGATAGTGTAAAACTTTGATATTTCAAACGCAAATTATTTGATCTACCAGAATTCATAGTTTGAAGTATCTAAGGTCTACGGCATTGGGTTGCAAAGATATAACGATAGGAAAATTTTAGTTTGTGACAAAGACTCAATTCCTTTAGATTTTTATATATGAATCCATTCTTTTATAATATTATCATGAAATATATTTTTGATATTTTCAGATGAGTCCTTCTGTAAGAATAAAAGCCTTGAAACAGAAGAAACTCAACTATGTCCTTGTGATCAGTTTTCAGCCAGACCAGTAGGTCCTTGGTCGGACTGTATTCTACAGACTAAAAATACAGGTAGGTCCTTGGTCGGACTGTATTCTACAGACTAGAAATACAGGTAGGTCCTTGGTCGGACTGTATTCTACAGACTAGAAATACAGGTAGGTCCTCTGACTGTATTCTGCAGACTAGAAATACAGGTAGGTCCTTGGTCGGACTGTATTCTACAGACTAGAAATACAGGTAGGTCCTTGGTCGGACTGTATTCTACAGGCCAGAAATACAGGTAGGTCCTCTGACTGTATTCTACAGACTTAAAATACAGGTAGGTCATTGGTCGGACTGTATTCTACATGCCAGAAATACAGGTAGGTCCTTGGTCGGACTGTATTCTACAGGCCAGAAATACAGGTAGGTCATTGGTCGGACTGTATTCTACAGACTAGAAATACAGGTAGGTCCTTGGTCTGACTGTATTCTACAGACTAGAAATACAGATAGGTCCTTGGTCGGACTGTATTCTACAGACTAGAAATACAGGTAGGTCTTCTGACTGTATTCTACAGACTAGAAATACAGGTAGGTCCTCTGACTGTATTCTAAGGACTAGAAATACAGGTAGGTCCTCTGACTGTATTCTATAGACCAGAAATGCAGGTAGGTCCTCTGACTCTATTATACAGACTAGAAATACAGGTAGAAATACAGACTAGAAATACAGATAGGTCCTCTGACAGTATTCTACAGACTAGAAATACAGGTAGGTCCTCTGACTGTATTCTAGAGACTAGAAATACAGGTAGGGCCTCTGACTGTATTCTAGAAACTAGAAATACAGGTTTGTCCATGATCGGAAAGTTGATAATAAGTTATTATATTAAATTAAATAAGAATTAATCTAAAGGTTGATAAGGATAGGAATAATAGATGTAGACAAGTAAAACCTAGAAAATATTTTGAATAATGAAAAAGAACATTTTTGACAAGAAAGAAAGAAAATTGTTTTATTATATTTTGTATTTGTTGAGAAGCTAAGCCTAGTTGTCCAACTGAATTGGGTTTGAGAGGATTTGTATAATCAGTTTCTCCTAAGCTCAAGATAGACCTGGAGCTAAACCTGGTTTTCATCAGTTTCTCCTTAGCTCAAGATAGACCTGGAGCTAAACGTTTCTCCTTACTCAAGATAGACCTGGAGCTAAACCTGGTTTTCATCAGTTTCTCCTAAGCTCAAGATAGACCTGGAGCTAAACCTGGTTTTAACCAGTTTCTCCAAAGATCAACCTTTTTATCCAAACATATTAGAAAGTATTTATCTGATACAGAAATTTGAGATAATTTCTTCTCTCTAATAGACTTAATTAACTAAAGAAACCAGAACCTGAGTCACCTAATTCATTTCTAAAATAAGCAAAAAACAAACAAACAATGAGACTTACACTGAGCCACAATTTAATTAGTTATGAAAGGATATTCTAAAAAGTGTAGGGCAATCAGTCTCTATTGTGTGCTAAAAAATGGTACAAAGTCTGTTTATAAACCTTCCCTGGGGTCAAGTGAGGTCCCACACAAAAGTTGGGCCTGATGGGTCCAGCCATTTTGACTTTTATTGGATACAAACGGACAGACAAGCAAAGTATATATATGTATAGATAAAAAGGTCGAAATAACTTTATGTATAAAGTTGTAATCTCTTTCCCATCATAACTTGGTAACCTCTCAAATTTTGATTGGTGAACTCGGGAGAACCACGAGAATGTTCTTAACTTGATTTAAAAATTCTAAATTTAGTTGGTCCATATTTACTGGAAAGTATATTTATAAAGAATAAAGATGTAAATACATTGTGTGTATAATGTATAATGTATGTACTAAAATCTGATTAGATTATACTTGTCAGCAGTCCACTGTCAACACAATAGAATAGAAACTGAGTTTTTGCCAAATACTTCTTATTCACTCTAGATATATTCAATATATACTCTTATATTCATAATAAACTTATTCGTGATAAACTTACTCATGATATACTTACTCATAATATACTTACTCATAATATACTTACTCATGATATACTTACTCATAATATACTTACTAATAATATACTTACTCATAATATACTTACTCATGATATACTTACTCATGATATATACTTACTCATATTATACTTAATCATGATATACTTACTTATGATATACTTACTCATGATAAACTTACTAATGTAAACTTACTTATATTATACTTACTTATGACATACTTACTCGTAATATACTTACTCATGATATACTTACTCATAATATACTTACTCATGATATACTTACTCATGTTATACTTAATCATGATATACTTACTTATGATATGCTTACTCATAATATACCTACTTATGATATTCTTACTCATGATGTACTTACTTATGATATACTTACTCATTATATGCTTATTCATGATACACTTATCCATCATATACTCACTCATGATAAACTTAATAATGTAAACTTACTTTTATGTAAATATGCTTATACTTTCTCATGATATATTTACTCACGAAGCAAAGAATTCAAAAATCTTTATAAAATTTGAAAATTTATATCAAATTTGTTATTTCTTATTATTATCTGTATTAAATTGTAAACTTTATACTTGGAAATAGTAAATCAAGAGAAGATCAAATTTTTATCAAAATATCAAAAAAAGTTTTTGTATTTTTTTTACTTCAAAAAGAAATTAAATTAGTTTTTTTCTCAAAATGAAACTACTCTTGAATCTAATAAATACATATATTATGATAGAACATACACAAACCCCTGAGCCCGAAATTTAAAAGAGTATCGATTTGTTGAACGAACCATAGAGTTTCCTTTTTGGGGTTTTAACATTTGTGTAGATTTTGATTTGAAAGATTTAAAAAAAATGGATAATATGAAGAAACCAAATGAAATAATATTTCATAACATAAATATTGATATCCACAAAAATGCCTAACCCTGATAAGAAAACCTGGGATATAAAACTGGTTTTCGTAACAAAACCTTGTCTTAAATTTTGGGATTTGTCACTCAGTAGTGTACACTTTACATGTACTAAATAGTACACAGTAGTGAGTATGTTTACTACACTGAAAACAGTAGTATGTTTTATTGAACCGTAAACATGGCAATTGTGAATAAGTACTGGACGGTACACAGTAGTGTAAGCATGTACTGGACAGTACACAGTAGTGTATGCATGTACTGGACAGTACACAGTAGTGTATGCATGTACTGGACTGTACCAGTAGTGTGTACATGCACTGTACACTATACAGTAGTGTATGCATTTACTGGACAGTACACAGTAGTGTATGCATGTACTGGCCCGTAAACAGAAGTGTGTACATGCATTGGACAGTAAATAGTAGTGTATGGATGTACTTGACAGTACACAGTAGTGTGTACATGTGCCTGATAGTTCACATTAGTGTAACTGTATACATGTACTGGACAGTTCACAGTAGTGTAACTGTATAAATGTACTGGACAGTACACATTAGTGTAACTGTATAAATGTACTGGACAGTCACATTAGTGTAACTGTATACATGTACTGGACAGTTCACAGTAGTGTAACTGTATAAATGTACTGGACAGTATACATTAGTGTAACTGTATACATGTACTGGACAGTTTACAGTAGTGTAACTGTATACATGTACTGGACAGTTCACAGAGCCCGAAATTTAAAAGAGTATCGTTGAACAAAACTCCCGAGTTTCCTTTTTGGGGTCTTAACATTTGTGTAGATTTTGATTTAAGAGATTTAAAAAAATATGGAGAAATATGAAGAAACCAAATAAAATAATATTTCAGAACAAAAATATTGATATCCACAAAACTACCTAACCCCATTCGTGAAACCCAGGTTCCAAAACTGGTTTATTAACGATACTCTGTCTTAAGTTTTGGGCTCAGTAGTGTAACTGTATAAATGTACTGGACAGTAAACATTAGTGTAACTGTATACATGTACTGGACAGTTCACGGTAGTGTAACTGTATAAATGTACTGGACAGTACACATTAGTGTAACTGTATACATGTACTAGACAGTACACAGTAGTGTAAATGTATACATGTACTAGACAGTACACAGTAGAGTAACTGTATACATGTACTGGACAGTACACATTAGTGTAACTGTATATTTGTACTGGACAGTACACAGTAGTGTAACTGTATATTTGTACTGGACAGTGCACATTAGTGTAACTGTATATGTGTACTGGACAGTACACATTAGTGTAACTGTATATTTGTACTGGACAGTACACATTAGTGTAACTGTATATTTGTACTGGACAGTACACAGACAGTAGTGTAACTGCAACATGTACTGGACAGTACACATTAGTGTAACTGTATACATGTACTGGACAGTACAGGGTATTTTACTGTATACATGTACTAGACAGTACACAGTAGTGTGTACATGCATTACTGTAGAGAATAAAAGGAATCAAAGAATACAGAGAACTATTTCTTTACTCCACTAAGTTTGACGTTGCATCAAGTTTTTTCCATTGAAAACTTTTCTGTTTTATAATTTCTATATATTTTACTAGTTTCAGTCTTTCTATCACTATCTATAATTTTTATCCTATATATGTAAATGTACATCTGCTATGTCTATTGTTTACTTCTTTTATCCTATTCATATATATTTTCGGTTTTATCTTTGTCAAAAATATTATTTAAAAAAATAAAACTAGAAGAAATTTTTTGGATTTGTATTGACAATATGCTCTTATTCACTCGTCGATATGCACTATATGGAGTTTCAAAAGTAGCAAAAGTATGCATTTATATAAATAATATCTTTATACTGAAAGTATTTAAATGTATGAACTGTCAACTTTACAGAAATTTATGTTTCTTCCTTTTCTTAATATTTTCACAGAAATGCAGGAAACATATTTTAAAGTGAACCAATTTTCCAGATAGTGTAGTTTCATTTTACCAGCTTAATAACTTTCTTTTTTTGTTTAGTAGCCCTAGACATGTACATTTTAAACTACAAAACCCACGGTATTCGCTTTAGTTTATCAAGTAGAATTTTGCACAGTTCTAAAAGATGTTTACGTAAAAAATTGCAACCTTTGAATCATTGTGTGTAGGGAAAATGAAGTATTGTAATATTCATCTCAGGATCTTGTCGTATCTAATGCAAATTAATTAGATTTCATTTTAGGAAAGTTGTTCGGGATATCTTCGTTTTTCTTTTCGAAATTATGCCTATTTTCGTGATTGTCAATGTTTTATGATTGCGTTAGTGGCTTACTTGAAATAAATTGTTATTTTGAAATATGTGTGGTAAACATTAAATTATAAAAATCATGTTGAAAATTCCTTTTTTATTCGAAACAATTTGATGTAAAAATGAAACAATGTTTTGATAGATATTTCATATTTAGACGAGGTTGGATCTATTGATCACGTGATGCAAGTATCTCCTCTCCGACATGAGAACTGTGGAACTGGATCCAGGTTTAGACGGATGGACTGCTACGATTCAAGAGGGAACCAAGTCGACTCCAGGTATAGTTTAGACCTAGAGATAAAAGAGGGAACCTGGTCGACTTCAGGTATAGTTTAGACCTAGAGATAAAAGAGGGAACCTGGTCGACTTCAGGTATTGGTTAGACCTAGAGATAAAAGAGAGAACCTGGTCGACTTCGCGTATAAATTAACGTTTCTAATACGAGCAAAACTTTTTAAAGAGAAGTTTACTCTGAGAAAATATTTAGCTTGAAATATTAAAATATTAAAATATGATAAAATATTAAATATTTTGCCAAGGTTTCAATGTATTCTTGAGAATGGGCGGAAACAGTTCTATTCGACGGAGAACAATTGGGAAAGTAATTGAGAGAATTTATTGCTAGAAGTATATATCTTTATTTATATCTTTAGAGCATTAAACCCCAGCCAGCTCCGATTCTACCCCCTCCCTTGTCCTTCTGATTCTATAATACAATTAGCCTCCACCACTCTCTTTCCAATTTCAAATTTTCTAAAACTACCTTTTCCTTCAATTTCTTTAGAAATCTAATTTATCTATTTTTTACCAACCTTAGCACTAGTGTGATATGTTTGGTACACCCCCTCCCACTTCCCGATCCCGCTCGTAAAATAATAAAAATGCAATGCATTAAAATGACAATGTGATTAGGAAAATCAATTCAGTTTTTCAAAATAATTAAAGTGTGTACACATATTACAAGAGTCTGTCCACGTTGTTTCATTGACCGCCATTTAAAGATTACTTAATTTTCATTATATACCTTTAAACTTTCGCCTGAGAAAAATATGCCAGTGTTATACACCTAAAAATTGATCACTTTTAATTAACTTCAGGATTTCTTCCTCATTGCTTAGAAAAAGTGTATGAGGTTTAAAGAGTATAAAAAGTTGTATCGGGAGGTCATTTGAAATTCTTTTACTGTCACTTCGAAACTAAAAAGCGTACATGTAGATTTCCCCAAGAGAAAAGAGATAAAGGAAGTTGTGAATTGTTGATGTAACTCTAAAAACAAAGGGTAAATAAAAAAGTAGACGTTTAAAACCGTAAAATGAATAAAGTTCTCTCTCTAAACAGTAAATTCTATTTTGACACAAATTATGAGTATAAGTTTATTCAACTCTGTAAAGTGAACATACATTCTTGAAGGTCGGAGCCGGGATTTTATGCTCCTGGGAACTAAACTTAAGTCCTACATGAGGGAATGATTAAATCAAATAACATTTGGATATTAACAATGTCTAGTTCAACAATAAGCTTATATAATGTAGTTCAGCAATCTCATTGGTCGAAACAAAAGTTTCCAGATTTTACAGTTTTCTATTGGTTCTTCTCAATGCATGGAGGATCATTCGAAATTATATCTATAATCCCTGCAAAATTTGAAGCAATGAAACTAAAGTGTGTAATCTATTTAAATATAAACGAACAATCAATGCTCAGCAAAAAATATCTGCCGAAGTGCACAATAATATCAATAGAAAATAAGTTTCCGGGTTGAAAACTAATAATATTCTTAATTCTGTCTTTTAAATTTATCCCGCTAAACTGAGTTGTGCAACAAAGTTTTGAATAATATATATTTTATAACTTAACGATATTACACCCAGAAGCACACCAAAACTTTCATATTTAAACCTTGATTTTGTTATGTTGTAAAGTGTTCATATGTGAAGGACCTGTCAAAAAACCTTTTAAATTTGCCTTTGTCTAAGTTTAAAAACTGGTCAATGCTCCATTTGCTTGATATAGCACTGGTCTACTAGTATACTTCTTTATATTGAGTGTAAAGCACTAGTCTACTAGTATACCTTCTTTATATTGAGTGTATAGCACTAGTCTACTAGTATACTTCTTTATATTGAGTGTATAGCACTAGTCTTCTTGTATACTTCTTTATATTGAGTGTAAAGCACTAGTCTACTAGTATACTTCTTTATATAAAGTGTAAACTGTAAAGCACTAGTCTACTAGTATACTTCTTTATATTGAGTGTAAAGCACTAGTCTACTAGTATACTTCTTTATATTGAGTGTAAAGCACTGGTCTACTAGTATACTTCTTTATATTGAGTGTAAAGCACTAGTCTACTAGTATACTTCTTTATATTGAGTGTATAGCACTGGTCTACTAGTATACTTCTTTATATTGAGTGTAAAGCACTGATATACTTGCATACTTCTTAATATTGAGTGTAAGGCACTAGTCTACTGGTATACTACTTCTTTATATTAAGTGTAAAGCACTAGTCCACTAGTCTACCTTCTTAATATTGAGTGTAAAGCACTAGTCTACTGGTATACCTTCTTCGTATTGAGTGTAAAGCACTAGTCCACTAGTCTACCTTCTTTATATTCAGTTTACACAGTTCTACTCGTATACTTTTTATATTAAGTGTAAAGCACTAGTCTACTAGTCTACCTTCTTTATATTGAATGTAAAGCACTGGTCTCCTAGTCTACCTTTTTTATATTTAAGTGTAAAGCACTGGTCTACTAGTATACTTCTTTATATTGAGTGTATAGCACTAGTCTACTAGTATACTTCTTTATATTGAGTGTAAAGCACTAGTCTACTAGTATACTTCTTTATATAAAGTGTAAACTGTAAAGCACTAGTCTACTAGTATACTTCTTTATATTGAGTGTAAAGCACTAGTCTACTAGTATACTTCTTTATATTAAGTGTATATCACTAGTCTACTAGTATACTTCTTTATATTGAGTGTATAGCACTAGTCTACTTGTATACTTCTTTATATTGAGTGTAAAGCTCTAGTCTACTTGTATACTTCTTTATATTGAGTGTAAAGCTCTAGTCTACTTGTATACTTCTTTATATTGAGTGTATAGCACTGGTCTACTAGTATACTTCTTTATATTGAGTGTAAAGCACTAGTCTACTAGTCTACCTTTTTTATATTAAATGTAAAGCACTAGTCTACTTGTATACTTCTTTATATTGAGTGTATAGCACTAGTCTACTAGTATACTTCTTTATATTGAGTGTAAAGCACTAGTCTACTAGTATACTTCTTTATATTGAGTGTAAAGCACTAGTCTTCTAGAAAACTTCTTTATATTGAGTGTATAGCACTGGTCTACTTATGTACTTCTTAATATTGAGTGTAACGCACTAGTCTACCGGTATATCTTCTTCATATTGAGTGTAAAGCACTAGTCTACTGGTATACCTTCCTCATATTGAGTGTAAAGCACTATTCTACTAGTATACTTCTTCGTATTGAGTGTATAGCACTGGTCTACTTGTATACTTCTTTATATTGAGTGTAATGCACTAGTCTACTTGTCTACCTTCTTTATATTGAATGTAAAGCACTGGTCTCCTAGGCTACCTTCTTTATATTTAAGTGTAATGCACTAGTCTACTAGTCTACCTTCTTTATATTGAATGTAAAGCACTGGTTTCCTAGTCTACCTTCTTTATATTGAATGTAAAGCACTGGTCTCCTAGTCTACCTTTTTTATATTTAAGTGTATAGAACTGGTCTACTAGTATACTTCTTTATATTGAGTGTAAAGCACTAGTCTACTAGTATACTTCTTTATATTGAGTGTAAAGCACTAGTCTACTAGTCTACCTAACCTTCTTTCTAATCTTTTGATATGTGTGTTTAAACTACTGTAAGGAATTTCATTACACAAGTGCAAACCAGAAAGGGGGGAAGGGATAAATGGGGGAAGGAGGGAGGGGAAAGGTGGAAGGGAAGGGGTGGGATGGTCAGGGGGAAGACGAAGGGGGAGGATAGGCAACCATTTGTTACAAGTCAAACCAAATACTCGGTAATCCTATATTTAAACCTTTCCAGTAGATATATATTCCTTATACTTCCAGTAGATATATATTCCTTATACTTCCAGTAGATATATATGCTTTATACTTCCAGTAGAAATATATTCTTTGTACTTCCAGTAGATATATATTCTTTGTACTTCCCGTAGATATATATTCTTTATACTTCTTAGTAGATATATATTCTTTATACTTCCAGTAGATGAATATTCTTTATACTTCCAGTAGATATATATTACTTATACTTCCAGTAGATATATATTCTTTATACTTCCAGTAGATATATATTCTTTATACTTCCAGTAGATATATATTTTTAGTTTAGTTTAGTTTAATTTAGTTTAGTTTAGTTTAGTTTAGTTTAGTTTAGTTTAGTTTAGTTTAGTTTAGTTTAGTTTAGTTTAGTTTAGATAGCTTCCAGTAGATATATATTACTTATACTTCCAGTAGATATATATTCTTTATACTTCCAGTAGATATATATTCTTTATACTTCCAGTAGATATATATTTTTAGTTTAGTTTAGTTTAGTTTAGTTTAGTTTAGTTTAGTTTAGTTTAGTTTAGTTTAGTTTAGTTTAGTTTAGTTTAGTGTAGTTTAGTTTAGAGTTTATCTAACAAAGGTATTTCTTGTTCTAATTGAACTGATTGAATACTAGGATTGGACCAGCTAGTTTTTGTCTGATCACTATTTCTTCAAGGATAAATATACTCAACTTTTGTACAACCTGCCCTGCACCCTTCTCTACAAAATGGAATAATCGACAACAAGGGTTTTTTCATTTACGCAACGTTCCATGCTTTTCATTGAAAATAGGTAGATATCTACACTTAATAAATTTTAATCTTTTTTACTGTACAGTTGGTGTGGAGGAAAACAGTACCTGGATGAGCGCTGCACGACCCTATGTCCAGTGGACTGCAAGTTCAGTTCCTGGGGTCCCTGGGGTCCCTGTGATTCTATCTGTGGACCTGGACTCAAGAATAGAACTGCAAAGGTAACAAATAACTTGTAATTTATGCTTTTTATAGTTTAGGATCTGAGATCGATTTTTAAAGGGAGTGTTCTCCTTTTTAAAAATATTTCTCATGTTACAACAAAAAATTGGCCAAATTAACCGCTCAAAGATGTTCCATAGAATTGTAATATGACGCAAACTTGTCTTGGCCTTGTTTAGGAATTATCCAGGAACTAGCATAGTTTTTGTTTAATATACAACAAATAAAATGAACTGCAGTTTTTAGGAGGTATGTAAACAAAACTCAGCCAGAGCATTACTGTAGCACATAATATTTGTAAATAAAGCTATGGTAGTTCTTTGTATATTATTTGATTTGACATTTGCGCCGGAGTGAAGTGTGATTCGTTTACCTGCATTGTAAACTCTTCAAATCCAGTTCTATCATGTTTTCCCTCTCAGTCTCTTGGGGACTCATAACCCTCTTCATTCATCCTTCAATCTTTATCCACAGATTCTTACTTTTCATACAATCCTATTCACTCTGCGGGAAGAATGGGGACTAGATGGGGGGATAGTGAGGGTGAGATGGGNTCTGTGTATATACCGAGCTAAAGTTTCTCTGTGTACATACCAAGCTAAGTTTCTCTGTGTACATACCGAACTAAAGTTTCTCTGTGTACATACCGGGATAAGTTTCTCTGTGTACAATACATACCGAGCTAAAGTTTATCTGTGTACATATACCGAGCTAAAGTTTCTCTGTGTACATAACGAGCTAAGTTTCTCTGTGTACATACCGAACTAAAGTTACTCTGTGTACATACCGAGCTAAGTTTCTCTGTTTACATACCGAGCTAAAGTTTATTTGTGTACAATACATACCGAGCTAAAGTTTCTCTTTGTACATACAGAGCTAAAGTTTCTCTGTGTACAATACATACCGAGCTAAAGTTTTACAGTCAAACGGAAAAACATACCGAGCTAAAGTTTCTCTGTGTACATATACCGAGCTAAAGTTTCTCTGTAAACATACCGAGCTAAAGTTTCTCTGTGTACATACCGAGCTAAAGTTTCACAGTCAAACGAAGAAACATACCGAGCTAAAGTTTCTCTGTGTACATACCGAGCAAAAGTTTCTCTGTGTATACCGGGATAAAGTTTCACAATCAAAAGAAGAAACTTTGTAGTTTTGTTCATTTACATTGTCAATGAAAGCAACTATATCGACTTTATTTGTATATATATATATATAAAGTGTATGATAAATTTTTTTTACCGCAGTCAACTTCATGATTACAGTCAAGGAAGACCAGTTTACAAAACTTTTTTTCCAGTCAAGGAATCATAGTTAGATCTTAATTCTATGATCAATCTAAAAGAAAATAATAATCAGTTTTTTTCACAAATAACAATATTTACTTTGTTCAAATTAAAGAATTTGAACTTGAATGTAATCTTAATCTTTTCTGGTTAACTACGGTGTTAAAAAAGATTTTTTGAATAGGATTAAAAATCTAAAGATTTGAAATTTTTTAATCAGTTTTCTTTAAACTTAGAATTTAATATTTATTAATCATTTTTTTTTCTTGGAAATTAAAAACCTTAGAAAACACTACTTTGTCCCGTATTCATCCATTTCTGTTAAAAAAGTACTCTTCTTATTTCTTTTTTTAAAACTATTCCAATTTGAGTAAAAAGTTGACGAGATGAAGTCTTTTGTTTTATAAATGTTGATTTTTCCAAAAAGCACTTCTAGTAAGTAAATATTAAAAATTCAAACCGCAAGCTAATCTTGAGAGTAGTTTTCACACTTGACATTATATTATTTACTTTTATCTTATTGTTTGAACAACAAATTACTAATTTTTCTTTTCTTTCAAATATTTGAGAAGAAATGTGTTAGCTGATTGGTAAAATCGTTAATGTTAAAATTAATCGTTGAAATCTTTAGTCTGATTTTTACAAGTCGTGTATCAAAACATTAACAACAAAAAATAACGTTTCATGTTAAAATATTTCATAAAAATCAATATCAATTGGGTTCAATTTTCTTCCATTTTTTTTTACCGGAGGTTTAGGTTTTTAAATATATTTTAAAAGTTTTTAAAAATGTATTTTAAAATCAGATGACAATTTTCCACAAACTGATGCACAAAGAAATACCTACTCTAGTTACTTTATGAACTATTTGTGAAACTTTATAAGGGAAGCCTATAATATCCTTACTTTCTTTGCCAAATCATTAATTTGAAGACGACCTTCAAGGCAGAAGACAAATTTAAGTTGTCTTTACTGTCTCATCCTTCGTGGGTAACCCTGTCAACATACTAATCGCTATCTTTGCAACCTGATGTCGTAGACCTTCCATATTTCAAGCTATCAATTTTGCTTGATCAAATTATGAAATATCAAAGGTTTACACTGAAAAGGGTAAAATAATCGGAATTTAAGGCGAGAAATCAATTTTTGTTAACGCTTTTAATCTTCATTAACAGTATTCTAACATCTGACAAAATATAGCTGAACTCCTATCGTTTCAGGTGGTTGAGGTGGTAGGAGAAGGAGGTAGACCCTGTCCTGGTCCAACAGTACAGTACGCCTCCTGCGAGTACTCCTGTGATAATTTTGTGTGGGTGGTTGGTCCCTGGACCCCCTGCACCAGGGGCCAGCACTCCTGCGGCAGGGGCAGCAGGCAGAGATCCGTCAGGTAGATATTTTATCCAGGTAGTTGGTACCTAGACACCCTGTTATACTGGTAGTTGGTACCTAGACACCCTGTTATACTGGTAATTGGTCCATGGAGACCCTGTTATCTTGGTATTTGGTCCCTGGATACCCTATTATTTAGGTAGTTGGTCCATGAACACCCAGTAATCTAGGTAGATGGTCCCTGGACACCTTGTTATGTGGGTAGTTGGTCCCTGGACACTCTGTTATCTAGGTAATTGGTCCCTGGAGACCCTGTTATCTGGGTAGTTGGTCCCTGGACACCCTGTAATCTAGGTAGATGGTCCCTGGATACCCTATTATCTAGGTAATTGGTCCCTGGATACCCTATTATCTAGGTAGTTGGTCCCTGGACACCCTGTTATCCAGATAGTTGGTACCAGAACACCCTATTGTCTAGGGAGATGGTCCCTGGATACCCTGTTATCTGGGTAGTTGGTCCCTGGACACCCTGTAATCTAGGTAGATGGTCCCTAGATACCCTGTTTTGTGGGTAGTTAGTCCCTGGACAGTGGCCACCCTGTTATCTAGGTACTTGGTCCCTGGATACCCTATTATCTAGGTAGTTGTTACCTGGACACACTGTTATCCAGATAGTTGGTCCCTTTGACACCCTGTTATCTGGGTAGTTGGTCCCTGGACACCCGTTATCTAGGTAGTTGGTCCCTGGACACCCTGTTATGTAGGTACATGGTCCCTGGATGCCCTTTTATATAGGTATTTGGTCCATTGACACCCTGTTATCTAGGTAGCCGGTCCCTGGGCACCCTGTTATCTGGGTAGTTGATCCCTGGACACCCTGTTATCTAGGTAGTTGGTCCGGCCCGGACACCCTGTTATATAAGTAGTTGGTCCATGGACACCCTATTATTTATGTAGATGGTCCCTGGACACCCTGTTATATAGGTAGTTGGTCCATGGACACCCTGTTATTTATGTAGTTGGTCCCTGGACACCCTTTTATATAGGTAGTTTGTTCATGGACACCCTGTTATTTATGTAGATGGTCCCTGAGTATACCTTTTTTATTATTATCTCTTATTCCACCGTCTTCAAATTTTCTTTTCTCATTTGTCTCAAATTTGGATAAAAACTATTCTATCTATTTATAATAATAATAATTCCTTCTCTATAAACTAGCTTTTATTATTGATTTTGTTTTTCAAGTTAGTGAAAGCGTGTCTCTAGTTTCCCCTTCTAGAGAGGGGTCATCGTTTAACTACAAACTCTATGTGCTTTTAGATTATCATGCTTAGTTTGGAATATTTGCTAATCATTAACATTATACAACTAAACTATATATAGAAGCTTTGTTTACACCTCCCTTCCCCCCTAACTATGCCCGATTAACCCCTTTTCCCCTACCCCCCCCCCCCGCTGCGGGTCGCCTCTCTAGACCCACTTCCCTACTTTTCTTCCCTGAACCATATTTTGTAATTCGGTTACACCCTAATCTACAGACTACACCTAAATAAACTATATAATGTATATATATATGTATTATAAATATAAATAATATATATAATATATAAAACATATTCCCCTAATTTTTATGATCAATGAACGTTCAAAATAATGGTTTTATAAATAAATCAAATTTAAGAATTTACATTAAGTTAATCAAAGCAAAATCTTTTTATGGAGAAGATATTGAAAAATATAAAAACATGAACTTAGAAATCTTTTCTAAAAGAAACTCTATTTTAGATGCGCTGAAAAAGTTCAGGATTCAGAAATCGTCGTTTTGGACGAATTTTGCGATGCTGTTACACGACCAGACTCATTGCAGGTTAGTGGAAAAATGAAAAAGTGTTTCTTTAAACCCTCTTGCACCAAAAACACTATTTTTAAAATAACACAATTCCTCTCTTATGGAATAAGTTTTTTCTTAAAGAAGGGACTGTCGAAAAACTTTAAGTGACATCATATTTCCAAGAATCTTAAACGTTTAAAAAAAATATCATTTTAAAATAGGGTTTCCAGCGAAAAAGGAAATTATTTCGCGAAAATGCGAACCTTTTCGCACTTTTTGTATTTCGTTCGATCGCGAAAAATGCGAACATTTTTGTGAAATTTCGATTCAATATGCTTCGCGAAAAAAATGTGAAATTTTCACAAAATAAGAAATGCGAAAATTTCCGAAAATTTTGCGAAAAACGGACGAAAACTTTTGCAATTTTTTGCGAAACGTTTGGTTCGCTGGAAACCCTAGTTTTAATAAGGGACAGTCAAACAAACCGAACATTAATATTATTATTAATGTGACGATTATATTGTCAAATTTTTATTTAACGTCATCTACAGGCAGATTGCAATAAATATTTGATTTGATTTGATGACCAATTATCGGAGACATTTGGGCGTTCTTCCTAAAATTTCCAATATGTTACTTTTTGTTTTAATAGTTGGCCCATTTCTTCATTACCGCCGTAAATGGTTGATAGTATACTTTAAGTAAAAGTTCCTTAAAAGTATCGTTGACAATTCCTTCAAGATAATGATTTATAAATATATTTTTTAGAATTGTGAAGAACCTTGTCCGGGGCAGTGCGTAGTTGGAGATTGGACGGAGTGGTCATCCTGCAGAGATGTAAAAATTCTAATTATTAATATATTTATTCATTTATTCGTTTATTTTTTTTATTTTTTTGTTTAGTTATTTAATCATACTTTATTTATCGTTGTTCTTTTTATTTATTTTTTTTAATATTTTTTATTTTCTTTCTTTCTAAGCTATCTTGCTGAAAATCTAGTTTAAAAAGGAAATATGTTCTGAAGAAAATTAGTTTCTTTTTGTTCAAAGAAGGTATCTACCGACAAAACGCAAAATTAGCTAAAACAGTAAAAACGCAGTTTTGGAACGCTCGGTTAATAAGGAGCGCAGATTAACACCTGAGCTGAGAAATTATAAATAAACCTAATAAAAGTTAATCTGCCCACACTGGTTTTGCTCCTTAAAAGTGTTTAGCTTAGTTTTTTTCGAGTAGTTCTGCTTGCACAAAAATAAAATCTGTACCCGATCAACTCAAAGCTTCATTAATCCAAACATATAATTCATATTTGAAACAACGGAACGAAAAAAGGAAAACACATATTTACTTACCATTCTTTGGCTTAGAAAATGCATTTATATTACTTATTTAAAACTAATATTTCCGCATCAGGAGCTTCTCCGCTCCCCCTCTTTACTACCCCCCCCCCCGGACATTAATGTCCATGGTAGGTTGGTTGAGAAGCATAATTCATCTAGTGTTAGCTTGGTTCAGGGTTAGAACGGATATTACATATCCTGTAAACCTTGATATCTTTACTCCAGGTTAATCCTAACCCTCCCTTTCCAACCCTTCAAGGAATATTCTTCTTCAAGCTTATCCACACTTTCAACCTGGAGTTAGTCTGGTCTACAATCCAAGTTCTCACTTTAAATATTTTTATTTTTGAGATTTTGATATTTTTTATCAGGTTGAATTTTAAAATAATCAGATAGAATTGGGTTTCTTTGGGAATATCAGAAAACTAACCTTTAGGTTCAAAGAAATTATATTTTTAGTGGATTTTGATTCCCCTCTTACTCTACATGGTTTTTATTGTATCGTAAAGCAATAAAGACAAAATATAAAATGTTTAAATCTGTTTTAAACATGTTCACTTAATACAATTCTTAAAAGAAATTTTTAGGAAAAAAGTTAAAATAATTTTGAATTGAAAATTATAAAAACTGTCAATAATCTTATTAAAAAACAGATGTAAACATAATCTTGCAATTTTAACAAAAATATTTATAATTATTACTTAACCGATTGAAAATTCAAATTAGACATAGAAAAGCAGTGAATAGTCTTGTCCCACAAAAAAGTTCTTACATACACAAATAATTCAATTTCAGCTCAACAATTTATTATGATATGCAAACGTATGCTAAACATTATACTGGATGTTTTCAGTGCTCTTGGGGATCCCGGAGAACAAGAACCAGATCCGTCCTTAGACAACCAGCCCAAACCTCACTTATATGCCCTCCTGTACAGGTATTATCATCATTATCATCATTATCATCATTATCATCATTATCATCATTATCATCATTATCAACATTATCATCATTATCATCATTATCATCATTTTCATCATTATCATCATTATCATCATTATCATCATTATCACCATTGTCATCATTGTCATCATTATCATCATTATCATCATTATCATCATTATCATCATTGTCATCATTATCATCATTATAATCATTATCATCATTATCATCATTATCATCATTATCATCATTATCATTATCGTCATTATCATCATTATCATCATTATCATCATTGTCATCATTGTCAACATTATCTAGGAGTCCAGTAACTGTATGTTGAACTCTACCTGCTGGGAGTATAGATGGAGGTTGACCCCCTGGACTAGCTGTAGACCAGAAGGCCGGGCAACCTGTGGAACTGGAACTGTTACCAGGGGAACGCAGTGTATCAGGTAGAAAACTGAATATACGCGGCCACCACCAATAGAGATATATAGACTAGAGTTTATATCCTCCTACACCACCCCACCCCTTCCCCCCTCATTTCCTGCCTGGGCTAGCATCAGCCCCCTCCCCTTGGCATATGGGCATACTGCTACTTACGTTGTGCAATTTAATTAATATTCCGCCGTAGAGGTCACTGAGTCTGTAGAAAGCTGAGAAAAAACAGGATTCTGCTTGCTTTCTTTTACAAACTATGCATGTTTAAACTTCATACTAGCGCCATTGTGTGAGAAATGTTTTTAAAATCTACATCTTCCTGATTCTGCTTATACTCAAGTGCACATATACTCTATCTTTATTTACTCTAATCCAGAGCAAACCGAATGATGAGAATAAAACTTAGAAGACGAAAACAATAACAAAGAATTCAAACAAGATGAGCTGTATTCCGCTGAGCAATTACCTTTAACTGATGCTTGTTTACAAAAAAAAGTTTTAATCTGGCATGCAAAAGCCATTTGCTATGTACATCCAACAGCGAATAGAAACTATTTCTTGGGTTAAAAGTGTTTTAACATGTAACATATATTATGTATTATACTGTTAGGGTTTAATGTCAGTAAATCCATACAATGGATAAACCTTAACAAATATTAAGCATGGTTTATAAAAGGGGAAAATTGAAAGGAGGGGAGAAAAAAAAAACAAGGGGTGAAGGTATTAGGAAAAACTGCGCCAAAAATAAAGAGGGGAAAAAAGCTAAATAAATCGTGGAGTATATTGAAAGTAAGACATGGAAATATTTTATAAAGAGTATGAAAAAGGAGAAACTGAGGGTGGGGGGAGAAAAGAGGAAAAATAGAAAGAAAGAAATGGACGGGAAAATATAAAAATGGAGAAAACATTTGCAGGATTGGAAGAACAAAGTAAATCTGAAAGAACGTTTATACATTTATATAATATAAAATTATTAAAATAGAATAAAATAAAACAGATGGTTGAGGGTAGAAGGATTTAGCTTAAGCTGTATAAGCTTATAACAACACATAACCTAACATTCAATGGTTCACTTTGAAATCCCTTGCATTAACCCCTGGTCACTGGGACTTCTTTATATTTTATATTTATCCTAGACACTTTATTATATTGAAAGTGACACGGGACACCTCTTTTATATTTTATTTATATTCTGGACACTTCTTTTATATTTATATTAATCCCTGTTCACTTCTTGATATTTTCTATTTACCCTGGACACTTCTTTTATATTTATATTGACCCAGGACACTTCTTTTATATTTATATTAACCCTGGACACTTCTTTTATATTTATATTAACCCTGGACACTTCTTTTATATTTATATTAAACCCTGGACACTTCTTTTATATTAATATTGACCGTGAACACTTCTATATTCATTTATACATTTTTCTTTTTTAACTTTTGTGGGTAGAATCTCGAGATCAAGCATTGAGCTCGACTTAAGCTCCATCTTGTGCATACTTACGGACACGGTTTAATTTAATTCCTCTTTCATATAATTTGAAAATATTTCTCTAGAATTTTAAGACAAAGTTCTTGGCTTGCATGGACAGTAAACACTTTTCTTCCCCTTCTTTTTCACCAAGTTTCATCTTTGTTTTTGATACACAATTCTCTTCAACTTTTCCTTCCCCCTGGGACCCATGATAATATTTGAATATTATATATATTCTAAGATCTAAGATTTACCTCCCCTCACCCCTGAATACCTCCAGTCCTAAATTTATATTAATGTTTAGACCATGGTTATTCTAGATAAGTTAGCTTACTGTCAGCAATATCTAAAGAACAGAAGAAGAAAATTTCTAGAATATTCCAAGCCTCCCTACCCCCCCCCCTTCCCTTAAAGTATTGCATGAAGTATGTGTCCTGTTCTAACTGAAGTACCCACTGATGAATAACGATCAGTAATTGATTTTGAAAGCACTTTAGTTCAGAGTTTGCATAGTCAAGTTTACATATAGTAGTCAAGTTGAGACAATAAAGGTGTTCCAAAAAACGAATTTTTATTTAGATCAATTGAAATTATAAACTTAAAATATTGATTAAAAGGAAAATATGAAGTTAGGAATTCAAAAATGAATTATTACAAATGGCAAAAAGTTAATTTCATTGAAAAATCTGTTCATTTTCTTAAAATGTATTATTGCTTTTAACAAGATGAAAAAGATGAACAAGATGAACAAAATGAACAAAATGAACAAGATGAACAAGATGAACAAGATGAACAAGATGAACAAGATGAAAAAGATGAACAAGATGAACAAGATGAACAAAATGAACAAGATGAACAAGATGAACAAGATGAACAAAATGAACAAAATGAACAAGATGAACAAGATGAACAAGATGAACAAGATGAACAAGATGAACAAGATGAACAAAATGAACAAGATGAACAAGATGAACAAGATGAACAAGATGAACAAGATGAACAAGATGAACAAGATGAACAAGATGAACAAGATGAACAAGATAAACAATTTTCAAAAATTTGTTGAAATGGAAAAAGACTCCCAACCTTCACTTCCGACAGAGCTGATTATATTTATTTAAAATTCCTCTGTATCAATATTTTCAAACTTTTATCAGAATAACACACACTTTAGATAATAGCTTTTATGTTGTTACTTACACCCCCTCCCCCTAAATATTTAAACAATTAATTTAAAATATTCTTCTTCGTAAAATCAAAATATATATATGTGTATCATATGCTAACTGAAGTGCACGGCTTTGCCCGTTGGAATTTGGAAACTCCTTGGGAAAAAATTGATTAAAAAAATTTATATTTCTTAGAAAACGATAAAAAAAATTGATTAAAAAAATTTATATTTCTAAGAAAACGATTAAAAAATTTGATATAACATGTAATGCAGAAACTTATTACCGCAGGGAAAGTTTATGACTACCGACCGACCAGTATAAAAAATTTAATTTAAAAAATGGAATTTTCAAAAGTTTTGGCAATTTACCGATGAAAACAGATAAATCTGAAAAAACGTTTCAGATTTATAAAGTAGGAAAATCAAATAGTAGCAAGCAGCATGTAAAGTTATTAGAAAAACTTTTATTTTATTTTCAACCCACTTGCTTAATAAAATTTCTAATTATAATTGAGCACTAGAAGGATCAAAGGGTTTAGAATATTAAACAAATAGATATGTACAATGTACATAGAGAGAGAGAGTTGAATGAAATGAATAAGTCTCTAACTCTATACTATACCTGTATATAATGAGATATTAAATATTTATGCTTTCTGCTTATTTGTTTAATAGTAAACAAATTCTTCATCAAAGTTTTTTCAACTTTTAAACAAATTTTACTCGTTTGAAATTAATTCAATTATGGTCAGACAGTAATTTAAAACTATTTTTTTAACAAAAAGTTTTTTTTTGCGTTTTTTTTTTTATTTTGTGATCCAGCGTAGTGGTATTGTTTACTGTATAGAGCAAACTGCAATGAAGGAAGTTGTAAAGAAGGAAATAAAAGTTTCAAGATGGATATTTATAAGATATCTTTTTATGAAGATTTAAGCCGGTCTTTTCTGGTTTATTACACATTGAACACAATTGAAACATGACTGAATCATTAACTGAATAGATATATAGAACCAGAACTGAAAACTTAAAAATTGAATATCCTGAAGTCCGATCAATTAATTTGAATATCCAATGTGGATTCTTTTATTTCCTTCTTAATCCTCTCTTTTTTTATTTACATCTAAGATTCTGACCAATGAGAGTCATTAACTGGCGCGTAAAATTTCAAATTTTCCTGGCTTCTGATTGGGTGTTCCGGATTTTGCATACGCTACTCTATTAGTTGAACTTTACAGGCTTTACAGAATACAAACTAAAGATTAAACTAGTTTTGAAAATAATAAAAAGATGAGATCAGGCATTGATAAAAAAAAATCCATAATTCTACAGTTTTCACTTCTGTGCTTAGATCCGGATCCGTTGGATCCGTAATATTTTGGCTTCCTGGATCCGAATCCAGATCCTCAAAAGGGGAAAAGTATCAATAAAAACTGTAAAAGAAACATTTTGCTATCAACATCTTTTTTTTTAACATTTTTATTTTTAAATTTTTAAATTTTAGGGGGGGGGGTGAAAGCGAGCATCAAAATCTGAATCTAAACTATTTTGAAAACGTAGATTAGTAAATATCCTTTTCTCTGAAAGATTTATCATGAATATAAGCGAAAAAAAGAAAAATTTATTTGAATATTCTACTTTTGTTTTAAAAAAATCAGAAAATCTTAAAGAAAAGCACTTCTTTTTCAGTGGTTAGGACACTTCAAATACTGAGTTTTCTTTATTTGCTGGTATTTTGAATTTAATATTTCAGATGTTAATGCTTTTTTAATTTGTTTGATCCCAAAGCGGTTTGGTCATAGTTTTTTATTGGAATACGGAGGAGAATCCGTTTAAAAGAATGATACCTTTTCTTGAATTAGAAACTAAAAAGTCAAGTTTGTCAATAATAATTACTTAACTTCTGTGATACAACGGTACATATATCTTCTATTTGCAAAGAAATTACTTTTGCCAAGATTTTGCAATGTGCACTACAAAATATTGCACTTAAATCATTAGTTTTCTTCTATTGGGTATTTTTGAAAATTAGCTTTTTTGTTTGAAGACAAAATTTTATTACTAAAAATATTTTTTAAAATAAAAAAATTTCGTATAATTTTATTGTGGTTTTTAATGATTTTGTTCTCAATTAATATACTATAATCCTTACTCTAACATGTAAATATTTCCATTTACAATAGCGCCGATTGAAGGATTCATATCTCTGGTTGGATAATGAGATAGAAAGATAGATGTTACCGCCATACTATTTCTATTGGTTAAGAAGAGACAACAAACACATGACTGAACCCTGATTGGATCAGGCGCTAATGGACTCGACATACAGAGGAGTGAACATGTCTCCTAAATATTTTACCATTTATTTATTTTCTAATGTAGAAATTACGTATTCTTATTCACACACTGTGAAAAGATGGGACTGTCTTTGTAAATTTAAGTGAACCTCCATGCACAATTCACAATTGATACCCTCTATACATTTATCAAACCAACATTGAAGAAGATTTTCTTGTTTAATTCTTAAAACTGTTAAATTCGCTTTTTTTCCTCTGCAGCTAGAATTCCGCAAGATACAATTTGTAGATAAACTACAAGTTAAGAAAAATCATGGATTTCTCATTCATTCTTAATCAGAAAAAAGCTGTTTAGAGTACCTTTGTGAATTGGACATGTCACTCTTTTTATTTTAAGGCGGGTCACTTGAAATTACGTTACAGTCCCTTTAACAAAATGCTGAGAATTCCAGCCATAAAGTACAGAACACTTCTGTAAATAAACATCGTGGCGGTGCAGCCTACCCATGGTTTGTCTTTCTTAATAATATGGTCAGGGACTTAAAGTTGTACAATGTACTAAGTACTTACTGCATAATTTTAAAAAAAAAAATATTCAAATTGACAAATCTTTCTCTGGTATCATTTTGAAACAAATATTTTTCAGAGAAAAGTTTTAAAAGTTTTTGTTTATCTTTGTTTAGTTTTATTAAGTTTGTCGAGCTACGGAGAAAAATATCGACATTTTTATCAAAACTAGTATTTTTTTCATTTCTATTTGATGTTTCTGTGTATAGATATTTTAAAAAATAAATCGTCCTTTACTAACCAAACTCCTCTGGTTTTGATGAACAAAGCTAATGGCATTGAAGGAATGACAGAATACAATGATATTGCAGTCCAACTTGACTTCTTCTTTAGGAGTGATGGTCGACCTGTCTCTGGTAGGTTCTGTTCTACTCTACCCCTGCCTGGTGAAGTGTCTGTGTCCTGTAGTGTTGAATGTCCTCTCGATTGCGTCCTATCGTCCTGGAGTCCCTGGGACGAGTCCCAATGTCAGTGCGGACTTTTCCTCGCTAATATAACGAGAACAAGGTAGGTCGTTCCAAAGGATGAGACTTTAATGACGACCTAAAACTTTAATGACGACCTTAAAACTTTAATGACGACCTAAAACTCTTAAAGAACCGTTTTATAAAGGTTGAATTTATTTTGAAAGAAAGGAAATAAGACTAACCCAAGTTAAATTATTTTTCGGAGGATTATAATGTATAATCTTTTAATTTAAAAAACTGAACCAAAAACCCGGTTTGCTTTTTGAAATCATCTAAACGCACAAAAAATGTAATCTTTTTAATCCTTTTAAATGTTGATTAAAATTGCTGACAGGAAGGATTAACATAGGAGGGTATTCGTGTCTCCTACAGGTACGGATAGGCCCTGCAAAGGAGGATTAACATATTTTGTATCTAGGAGGGTATTGGTGTCTCCTACAGTTAGGGGTAGACCCTGCAAAGGAGGATTAACATATTTTGTATCTAGGAGGGTATTGGTGTCTCCTACAGCTACGGGTAAACCCTGCAAAGGAGGATTAACATATATTGTATCTAGGAGGATATTGGTGTCTCCTACAGCACCATGGTAGACCCTGCCAAGGAGGATTAACATATGTTGTATCTAGGAGAGTATTGGTGTCTCCTACATCTACCATGGTAGACCCTGCAAAGGAGGATTAACATATATTGTATCTAGGAGAGTATTGGTGTCTCCTACATCTACCATGGTAGACCCTGCAAAGGAGGATTAACATATATTGTATCTAGGAGGGTATTGGTGTCTCCTACAGCTACTGGTAGACCCTGCCAAGGAGTATTAATATATATTGTATCTAGGAGGGTATTGGTGTTTCCTACAGCTACGGGTAGACCCTGCCAAGGAGGATTAACATATATTGTATCTAGGAGGGTACTGGTGTCTCCTATAGCTACGGGTAGACCCTGCCAAGGAGGATTAACATATTTTGTATCTAGGAGTATTGGTGTCTCCTACATCTACCATGGTAGACCCTGCAAAGGAGGATTGACATATATTGTATCTAGGAGGGTATTGGTGTCTCCTACAGCTACGGGTAGACCCTGCCAAGGAGGATTAAAGGAGCAGAAACCTTGCCCCTCAACCCCCTGCTACATATGGGACAAACCATCCTGGTCACCTTGCCAACTACAGGTAGAGGTCAGGGGGTCAGGGGGTCAGGAGGTCAGGAGGTTAGGAGGTTAGGAGGTCAGGAGGTTAGGAGGTCAAGGGGTCAGGGGGTCAGGGAGTCAGGAGGTCAGGAGGTCAGGAGGTTAGGTGGTCAGGAGGTCAGGAGGTCAGGAGGTCAGGGGGTCAGGAGGTCTAGGGGTCAAGAGGTTAGGAGGTCAAGGGGTCAGGGGGACAGGAGGTTATGAGGTCCGGAGGTCAGGAGGTTAGGAGGTCAGGAGGTCAAGGGGTCAGGGGGACAGGAGGTTATGAGGTCAGGAGGTCAGGAGGTTAGGAGGTCAGGAGGTCAGGAGGTCAGGAGGTCAGGAGGTCAGGAGGTCAGGGGGTCAGGAGGTCTGGAGGTCATGGATTTCAGGAGGTCAGGAGGCCGAGTTGATAAAAAATGTGACATATTCTCAAGTTTAAAGAAACCAAGTTGTGTGGCTCAAAGAGCTCAAACTTTAAAACAACTTTAATTTTGTGAAAACTAGAATTTGTGAGACAAGTTTTTAAATTTCTTCACGATTGTTTGGCCTGTATTTTTGTTGATTTTTGCGGCATTTTAACGTTTTTTTTATTCAGGGGTTCAAATTTGGTTTTAAAATGGTATATTTTGACAAAAAATCTCTTGCATAAGTGATTCATGAATTATTTGCTATAAAAGATCTAAATACGTTTGAAAATTAAAGTTGTAAAAAAAAAACTTTAGGACTAGTGCAAAGCTTGCGTCCGAGCATTTTTATCAAAAAAGGTGCACTGCAGTTTTACTCTTATTTTAACTTATGCTGCAAATTCAAAGTTTTTGATAAAAAAAGCTTGTTAAAGCTTTAATCGTTCATCGATAAAACTATGAAAAGAAAATTTTGTAAAATCTAAAATTGAACTGATTTAAAATTTTCCTTCACTGACAGATTTCCCCTAGTTTTCTCTTGGGTTATTTCAAACTATTTAAATTTTGTTCACAAAGAATTTCTTATAACGAGGTATACTTGAATAGGTCTATTGTGAACCACGGAGCAGTAAGAAACTAGGTTTAGATTGTAAAGTAGAGAGAAAAAGGAGAATGAATAAAAACAAACTCGTAATCCTTGTACATGCTAATAGGGCTGGGCACGTTAATGCGTTTTAAAAAAACGTTCGTTGTTCTTTGAGTTATTTAATATTTGTTAATTCAGGGTGCCACTTGCGGTACAGGTATACAGCGTAGAAATATCAGCTGTGTTACTAAACCTGGAGGAACTGTTGTTCCTGATTCTCTTTGCCAGGTAGACATAGAGATTAGTTATTCATTTGTCAGGTAGACGTAGAGATTGTTTATTCATTTACCAGGTAGACATATAGAATAATTATTCATTAGCTAGGATGACATAGAGATAAATTATTCATTTGCCGGGTAGACATAGAGATTAGTTATTCATTTGCCAGGTAGACATAGAGATTAGTTATTCATTTGCCAGGTAGACATAGAGATTAGTTATTCATTTGCCAGGTTGACATAAAGATTAGTTATTCATTTGCCAGGTAGACATAGAGATTAGTTATTCATTTTCCAGGTAGACATAGAGATTAGTTATACATTTGTCAGGTAGACATAGAGATTAATTATTCATTTGCCAGGTAGACAAAGTGATTAGTTAGTCATTTGCAAGGTAGGCATAGAGATTAGTTATTCATTTGCCAGGTAGACATAGAGATTAGTTATTCATTTGCCAGGTAGACATAGAGTTCAGTTATTCATTTACCAGGTAGACATTGAGATTTATTATTCATTTACCAGGTAGCCATAGAGATTAGTTATTCATTTGCTAGGTAGACATAGAGATTAGTTATTCATTTATCAGGTAGACATAGAGATTGTTTTTACATTTACCAGGTAGCCATACAGATTAGTTATTCATTTACAAGGTAAACATAGAGATCAGTTATTTATTTACCAGGTAGCCATACAGATTAGTTATTCATTTACCAGGTAGCCGTAGAGATTTGTTATTCATTTGTCAGGAAGACATATAGATTAGTTATTCATTTACCAGGTAGCCATAGAGATTAGTTATTTATTTGCCAGGTAGACATAAAGATTAGTTATTCATTTGCCAGGTAGGACATAGAGATTAATTATTCATTTGCTAAGATGATATAGAGATTAATTATTCATTTGTCAGGTAGACATAGAGATAAGTTATTCATTTGACAGGTGGACATAGAGATAAGTTATTTATTTTTATTAGGTATCCATAGGGAATTTGCTGTATTGTGTTCATTTAATCCATTTAAAAGTATTTTAGTCCTAATTTCTACTAGGACAAGATTGGAATTGATCCATCCAGCGGGTTGATTATCGGTCAGCTGGAGGACCTTAGCACAGTAACTTCTTGTTATATCAGGTAGTATTTTATTAATTTCAAACATTGAAGAAAAGATCAAAGTTTACAGAAACATCAAATAAAAGGTTTACAATATCAATCCAGAATTTTATCTTTTATAAAGTGAGAACTGAGAACCAGAAAACTAAGGAATAGAAAGTTGACTTTTAGACTCAAGTTATGATTTTAAATAACATGAAACATGAGATACAGCAGTTTTGCACTCACCTCTGCCCCTTTAGTAAAAGTCTGACCGCGTCAACCTTGTTACGCCGGCTACTCCTATTGAGTGTCTGCTTCATTAACTCAATGTCCGGGCGATACAGTACTAACTGGGACTTAAGTTATGACCCGGCTCGGAAATTCAAATGTACTACGGCTGTCCGTGTGTGTAGTGTAAAAAGAGCCATTTAACTTAATAAATGATTTTGTAAGTTTTTAGTAACACTCTTTACTTTGTAACAACATTAAATACACTTAAGTATTGCTGTGATGTCGTCTTACTATTCCACAGTTTTCTGGTTGTCGCTGTACCTAAAACAAACAAAAAACAAGCTAACTGAAAAACAACCCTTCAGAAAATGAATAGCATTTTGAAAGTTTTAAAACCTGTTTGGAAAGTATTTGAAAACAAAAATTTCAGCAAAGGAATTGAGTCTTTGGAACAAAATCATATATTTAAACCTCAATATCTAAAGAACTCGATGTTGTAAAGCTTTGAAATTTCAAACTCATATTATTTGATCTAACAGAATTCATAGTTTGAAATATCTAAGGTCTTCAACATTTGGTTCCAATGATATAGTGATTAGAAAATCAGTGTTTGTTGCAAAGACTCAATTCCTTTGCAATAAAGTTGTAATAGAAGATTCTAATTTTAAAAATTTATAATTAAAATTTTAGTTGTGATACGGATTGTACTGTGTCATCTTGGTCCGAATGGTCTTCATGTACACAGGATACATGTAGACCTGCCAGCTCAGGTACATATTTTGTGTAGGACTTCACATGACCCCAGGGAAGGTTTATGGATGCTCAAAATTACAAAAATTTTAATCCTTAAGTTATTGTTTTTTGTAAATTTTTCAAAATGCGCGAAAAAATATTATGAAATCCGCGAATTTGTTTTTATTGTTTTATATTGTTTACAGAGAAATTGTTCACAGATAGAGACACAATTGAAAGTTAAAATATAAGATGGGCGCGAAGCCTAGTTTAGATATATTTATTTGGCATACCTTTTTTATTGTGTTCAATAAACGTCCAAATTTTCTGTATGACCTCACATAACCCTAGCTACTAAGGACGAAATTTGAAAAAATGTTCTGATTTAAATAAATATTGAAATCCACTAAAAAAATCTGCCAAATCTTACATATATTTTATTACAAAAAAGATGGGCACAGTACATGTACATTAAACGGTACATTAAACGGTACATTAAACGGTACATTAAACGGTTCATTAAACGGTACATTAAACGGTACATTAAACGGTACATTAAACGGTACATTAAACGGTACATTAAACGGTACATTACTACTTTTCCAGGAATTTAATATTCGAACTATATTTGTAGATGTGAAGTTTTACATATAGATATATTGTGAGCAAAAACATTGCAAACAATGCAGAAAATGTATGAATAAAATCTTTCTAGTTCTGTAAAAATCTTTCTATGAATTTCACAATGTCTATATGTTGAAAACGTCTAACATTTGCGTGTTAATGGCGCCATCTACTTTTATTAAACACATTTTCTTAGATATGCTCAACTGTTTTGAGAATTCAAAATTCTAGAATATTCAAGAAAAATGCAGCATCATGAATTTAAAAACTATTCTTTTTCCGGACATAAATTAAAAACATTTGTTCCTTTGTTGAAGTCTAATGACTTGTTTGCTTGTAGATAAAATAAAATATAAAATTTAGAGGGTTTTATAAAGGGGACTTTCGTTTTTAATTCAATAAAGAAAAATTCGGGACCACATATTTTTTAATTAATTAATTTAAAAAGATGCAAGAAAAAAATTCAAATCTTTAAAATTATTTTTATCATTTATTTTAGTTGGTGTACAGACAAGATTACGAAACGTTGTACAGAATTCTAGAGGTGTTCATGGGAAGTGTACACCACACCTCTCAGAAACAAGGTAGAATATATGCAAAAAATTATTATGCTTTATAAAATTCCGGCCTTTGAAAAAAACTGAAAAATGCCTAATATTATACTTAATCATCTCTTTTTAAATCTTCCAAAAAATCTGAAAACTAAACAATTATACATATTATAACAGCTGTTGTCATATTGTATATTTCCCTTGTTGAGATAGTTGAGAATTTGGTTTTAAATGTTTGTTGTTCCAGAGAAACGTAAACAATAACATAATTGAATCCGGAGGGAGAGTGACAACAAAAACCGGTTCCAGTAGGGGGTAAAACCTCGGTTCCAGGGGGGGACAAAACTGGTTCCAGGGGGAAGGTGCAACAAAACCGGTTCCAAGGGGGACAACCAAAACTGGATCTAAAGAAGGAACAATAACCGGTTCTAGGGAGGAAAGTGCAACAAAAAACCGGTTTCAAGATGATAGCAACAAAAACTGGTTTCATGGGGAAGGTTTTTTTTAGGATGGGAAAGTTACAGAAATACGTTTACATAAAGCTATGATATTAAAATTCTATGCTTATATAATTGTCAACCATAGGAAACACTATTATTTTAACTATTTCAACATATAAGTCAACAGAGACCGAATTTAAAGAATTTGAGCCGCGATTTAAATTTAAGCCACGGCTTAAATATGGTTGGTTCCATTTAAAATTGTATACATTTTTTCAAGATTTAAGCCGCCGCTCAATTAAAACCCGTTTTTTGGGGATTTGAGACGCGGCTTAAATTCATTAAATTCGTACACAGTTTAAAGGGACTAAAAACGTAATGTAGAGTGACCCCTTCATTTATATATTGGCACGTCCGATTCAGAGCAGCACCCGCAAAATCCACAGTAAATACATTAATTGTCATGTTACAGAGATAAACCTGGTAATAGTATTAAGATTTAAGCATGAATTTAGGCTTTACAATATTAATATAACAAGGATTAACAAATTATATTTGCTCCGAGATTAAAGCAGATTATTCAATACATCTCAATCCTTAATATTTCAATTGTGTTATTAATTAGTTATTGTGACTACTCGTGGTAATTTAAATGTTTTGAAGAAACAGGTTCACATTGGAACCCTTAAAAGCTTTGTTTTATTAAGTATGAAATTAATGAATCAATGTTGATAATTTTGAAAACTGGTTTTTTCTATTTGTGGGCTCTATACAAAAGGGACTTGCGCAATTCTACTGGAGGCACCCATACAGAAATTATTATAATTGTAAACACTTTTAAACCTAAAAAACGACAATATCTTCCACATTATTGATTAGATAAAGGTACCGTTGTTAATCCAGTATATCCATCTTTACAGTGAGGATGACAAAAAATTTCACTTCAGTCCCTTTAATAAGTTTTCCTTCTCTAGATGGTGTATATCTGCACCCTGCTACAGGTTCCACTGTACAGTCCCTTCAATATGTTTTCCTTCTCTAGATGGTGTATATCTGCACCCTGCTACAGGTTCCACTGTACAGTCCCTTTAATAAGTTTTCCTTCTCTAGATGGTGTATATCTGCACCCTGCTACAGGTTCCACTGTACAGTCCCTTCAATATGTTTTCCTTCTCTAGATGGTGTATATCTACACCCTGCTACAGGTTCCGCTGTACAGTCCCTTTAATATGTTTTCCTTCTCTAGATGGTGTATATCTGCACCCTGCTACAGGTTCCACTGGTTGGTTCTGAACGGAGATGTCTTCTGTCAACGCTCTGATGGTGTCAGAGTCAACAGTAAGTATGATTTATCAGTATCCTTGCATGTATGCAGATATACAGGGTGTTTCATTAGTATCCTTGCATATATGCAGATATACAGGATGTCTTATCATGGTATCCTTGCATATATGCAGATATACAGGGTGTTTCATCAGTATCGTTGCATTTATAGATATACAGGATGTCTTATCATAGTATACTTGCATATAAAGATATACAGGGTGCTTCATTAGTATCCTTGCATTTATAGATATACAGGGTGTCTTATCATGGTATCCTTGCATATAAAGAAATACGTACAGGGTGTTTCATCATTATCCTTGCATAACACTACTACAAGGTGTTTCAACATTATCCTTGCATATAAAGATATACAGGGTGTTTCATTAGTATCTTCGCATATATAGATATACAGACAGGGTGTTTCATTAGTATCTTCGCATATAAAGATATACAGACAGGGTGTTTCATTAGTATCTTTGCATATAAAGATATACATACAGGGTGTTTCATTAATATTTTTGCATATAAAGATATACAGACAGGGTGTTTCATTAGTATTTTTGCATATATAGATATACAGGGTGTTTATCTTACAAAATAAGAAAAAATGAAATGATCAATCTCTTCAAACTCGTATCTTGTCATTATTTTATCCTTAAAGAGACTGTACAGGAAAAATGAAAAGGGCTGAAACCTAATACAGAAGTTTCAATTTTATTAGCAATTATATCTATTAAAAATTTAACATTATTAAATTCAAATAATAATAGGAGCCGACCTGAGTTTTTTAGGCTCCTCATGGATATTGTAGTGTTCAGATTGGTTGCATATTTGCTGAATATGATCTGTTTAAGACTTAGAAAACATTAAACCAAATCTTATATATAAGTTTGGTATAATTTTGATACAGTTTTATATCAATTTCTCGAGACAGGAACAACAGATAGAATTCTTACAGGTCTCGATCAACTTCTGAAGTTTTTTAACATTTTTAAAGGATCGTTTTCCGGAACTGTCGTTTCGTCTTTTATTCTTAATGACGATCATCCCTTTCAAAAACTTTAGTTTTCAAAAACAATCATTTCGTTTTCAGATTTTTTTTTTATCGTTAACAAACCGAAACGAACGTTTTTCAAAAAAGTCAAAACGGCTCAATCCTTCCTGCAATAACCTTTTTTGAATGTTTCTTCTTATCGTACAAAACGCTCATATATTCGAAGCAAATAACTTTTGTATAATATAATTGTTCACCCTGTATATACACCGGAAATACGAACTTCCGGTCTACCTACCACATACCATTCATTGGCAGGAGAATACTGATATCATTATTATTATCATATTATTATGATGGATGAGAAGTCTTTTCTCATTTATATTTATTACAATATCCTTGTCACTTGATAAATGTATACAAAGTTGTCCCTTTAAAAAAAAAAAACTTAAACAGTGGCAGTTACGATTCACAATTCACACCTTTGTTTGATAAAAAGGAATTGAGTCTTTGACACAAACTCTGATTTTCTAATTTCTTTATTTTTGATACCCAATGTCGTAGACCTTAGATATTTGAACTATGAATTCTGTTACATCAAATTATCTTAGTTTGAAATATCAAAAGCCTAAAACATCAGGTTCCATAGATATAGGGATTAGAACATTTGAGTTTGTGGCAAGGACTCAATTCCTTTATGAAATTTTTCCATCTGAAAACTGAATAATTTCAATAAAAGTTTTCTCTTTAAGTGACTTGTATTGCAGATTAATGCACTAAAAATAAGGAAATAAAGAGAAATTTTATATTTTTAAGACAAAAAGCAATTATATATATATCTCATTGTTAACACTTTTTAAATGAAAAATCACTTGAAAATTTGTCTTTTCAATCAAACTCAGATTTTTTTTAAACTGAAAAGGTAATAAACATTTGCATTGTTTGCTGGTTAACTGGTTGAGGAGGAAAGTTTGTATTAATAAAGGAATTAAACACTTTTCAGACGGATAAATAGTTCCAGTGAAGGAATTAAACACTTTTCAGACGGATAAATAATTCCAGTGAAGGTGTTAATGAGATCAGGAAATAATTCACTTTTCAGACAAAAGAATAGTTGACTATCAGTAACCTTGCCTAAACAGATATACAGGGGTGTTTTATCAGTAACCTTGCATAAACAGATATACAGGGTGTTTCATCAGTTTAGCTATTCATCTATTTATATCTTTATATAAAATCTATAAATCTAAACAATACTAAAAAATAAGTTGGAATCATTTATTAAAAGAAAATATCTAATAAAATTGATCTAACTTTAGTTTAAATCTAGGTGGTTGTGAGAGCAGTGTAGTGGGGTGTGGCTCTGGATGTAGAAGTGTCCGCCACGCCTCCTGCCAGGCCGGTCATTGTGTCTGCTTACCTGGATATCTGCCTCAGTTCTCCGCCCATCCGTCTCCCCGCCTCTCCGCCTGCCTAGATATTCACTCTAATCTAACCTCTCAGGTCAATTTTTTTAATGGTCATAAATGACCGTTGACCGTTGAGGTAGTTTTAAAAACCTTACATTAATGGAGTGGAATGTCCGATTTACAACGGTACCACTAAGAGCCGGTCAGATCAAGAATGAACCACTGTGATCAATAAGTTTCACTAAAATTATCTGAGTGGTACTAAAAGTCTCAGCTCTAAAAAAATGTTTAAAGTTCAATGGATGCATTTTTTGGTCAGGTAGGCGTCAAGCAGATTGTTGTTGTGATGTAAGGAGTGTTCTCCTGAAGGTGGATTTGCTTCGTTGTCACAGAATAGGAATATCTAGAATATTGATCAGAGAAAGAGGTGCACTTTGCAGGCCCGGTTACCCAAAATTATTTGTACTAGACAATGCAAAAACCAAGCAGAACCCTTAAAAATGATCCAGAACGATTTATTCAGTTTAATGGTAGTTTAATGGGGTGAAGAAGGGAAAAATAAATAGCTGAAGGATTATGACATGTCCGGGCAGGAAAAGACCATCAAGACTCCAAAAATAGTCGAAAATATTGAAAATTGTTGAAACCATATCAGCAAGGGTTCTAGAAGTATGTTTTTCCGTCAATTTGATATGTGCCTTTACATTGTGAACAAAGTTGTAAAGCAAGATTAAAAAATTACAAAAATCTGGGAAAAATTTGTCCAAAAGGACCAAAGGAATGACGTTGATTATGTATCTCGTATGTAAACCAAAGCCAGAAAACTCCTCAAAAATCCTTCATACATTAAATACTTGATCTCTCTTTTTTTATCGTTTTTAAAGGGTCTAAAACAGACTTTGATGGATCAAGTTTGGAACCATTCTGAAAATTTTTTTGCTGTGTCATACTAAGCTGATATACTTCGGATGAACGCTCATTACATTACAACAAAGATCTGATTGACATCAACTGATCTGAAAAGTAATCCGGTATAACTATAGTGAAATTTCAGGGCTGAGACTTCTACAAGTACCCCTAAATGTTTGTTAACGAAACTTATTGATGACACCGTGTATCTCTTTTTAAAAACTAATTATTTTCCATACCAATATCTTGACTGCACATTTCTATTGTGCAAAAACAGTAATAGAATTATCAGAATTAAACATATTTCAAGCTAGAAATATAACGATATTCCACAGTAAATATTTTAAGGGTACCGTTGTGAATCGGTATTGTTACACTCTTAAAGTTAAGGGTAACTTAGAATTAGAACGACAGTCATTTTAAGTTAAGATCTCAAAAAGATATTATTATAAAAAGTGAAGGTTTAATAAAAAATAATTGGCCTGATTTAAATTCAAAATTTCCCATCAATAACTAACTACCCCGCTTTCTTTTTTGTTCTTTTCTCACATTACTTTAAAGTTATTTTTGTATTTCCATAATTTCGGGTTTGGACTTGTTCAAAGCCTTTGATATTTTGTAGAATAATCCCTTTGTTAGTTTGAATCTAGCTTTCTCCAAATAATTAAAAAAAAATAATATTTGAATTGAAGATTGTCTAATATCTATTAATGATTAAAAGTTATGGTTATGTATTACCAAGTGAAGAAATGGCTTTAAATCTAGTTTAGTAATAAGAATATTATTTTTAAATTTTAAGATTAAAATATCTAAGTAACAAAAATCTTCTTGATCCTCACAAAGAAATTGAGATTTTGCCTCACTCTCTAATTCCCTAATCTCTTCAATCTTTCCAACCCGATGTCGTTGACTTTTGTTATTTCAAAGTTTGAAATTAACCAAGAAAGAAAGAAAATTTGAGTTTGTGGCGAAAACTTAATTCCCTCATTAATTTTGATCTAGAAGATGTAAATGTAATCGTGCCGTATTCGTGTGTAATATATGTACTGTACTGTTTATTTTCATAAAACCTACGTGTACTGTACAGGGGCTAGAGGTGGAAGAACGAAGGAAACCTGAGAATGAAGTTAGGCTTCACTATTTCCCAGGCAAGAATACCAACATAAAAGTTTAAATAATCTAATGTTTCTTTTTCATTTTGAACTTTTCTTTTCTAAACATGTTCTTTGGAAGTTCTACTTAATCACTCCAGAGACTGAAACTTAAATATTACAAAACCGCGAAATATCGGGAACCATGTTTCCGATATAACCATGAATAATTTAAATGAAGAAAGTTTGAAAATAAAATATTTCTTGAATAGTTTCCTCTTGGTTTTTAATCTTGCCAGGCTTCATGTGTTGCTTAAAACGTTTACTTTACTTTACACTGTGTAGTCCAGACTGGACAGTAAGACTAAATGCAGTACAGTATATGTTGTACCGGCTCGGATCATACTACTTTAAGTGCGGGGTGAAACGCGGGGGTATCCTTGCCTAAACAGATGTACAGGGTGTTTCATCATTTTTCTTGCATAAACAGATATGCAGGGTGTTTCATCATTATCCTTGCATAAGCAGATATACAGAGTGTTTCATCATTATCCTTGCCTAAACAAATATACAGGGTGTTTCATCAGAAACCTTGCCTAAACAGATATACAGGGTGTTTCATCAGAAACCTTGCCTAAACAGATATACAGGGTGTTTCATCAGAAACCTTGCCTAAACAGATATACAGGGGTGTTTTATCAGTAACCTTGCATAAACAGATATACAGGGTGTTTCATCAGTATCCTTGCATAAACAGATATACAGGGTGTTTCATCAGAAACCTTGCCTAAACAGATATACAGGGTTTTTCATCAGTAATCTTGCCTAAACAGATATACAGGGGTTTTCATCAGTAATCTTGCCTAAACAGATATACAGGGTGTTTCATCAGTAACCTTGCCTAAACAGATATACAGGGTGTTTCATCAGAAACCTTGCTTAAACAGATATACAGGGTGTTTCATCAGTAACCTTGCCTAAACAGATATACAGGGTGTTTCATCAGTAACCTTGCCTAAACAGATATACAGGGTGTTTCATCAGTAACCTTGCTTAAACAAATATACAAGGTGTTTCATCAGTGACCTTGCCTAAACAGAAATACAAGGTGTTTCATACAAAGTTTTTAATTCGAATAAAAAAGTGATCTTCATTAGACGGTCAAAATCTCGCTGGATTTGTTCTGAATCGTACTAAACTGTTTTGACATTTTTCGGCCAGTAGAAGATTTCTTGTATATTAAGAAAACAAACCAGAGAATAAGGTTTTATGGTTGACAAGCTTTTTTCAAATTACAAGTTACAAGTAATTAAAGAGAAACTTTCTTAATTGATAGGTCCATCCATGCTTTTTAAAAGCTTGATATAAATCAAAATTGAAATCAGAAGTTGTCTTCATTATATTGATATAATCGTCTACCACTTTATCTAATAAAATTGTAAATTCCCTTCTGCAGTGAACACTATTTGATCTGCGAATGCACTGGTTAACCCACAGACTACACGTAGACTGCTTATACACTGGATAGGCTGAGCAGGCCTATAGTGTCCCGGCAAGCCACGCCCTGTAATGTTTTTTGACTGACATCTCACGACCATTTGTTGCATTCAGGGATTAAGTTTTAAAACTTTTAAAGAAATACTCCAATTTTAAACATAAAACATAACGTTTATGAATATTGTCTATTTTTAAAGATTTTGCATTTCCTATTCAAAGGATCCTTAAATATCCCTGAATTCAGATGTCTCCTGATTGTTCATGTACAGTCCTTGTACACAATGGAACATGCTGTGGAAAATATCGCATATTATAGGTGTTAATTGATCTCAGTAACTATCTTATTTCAAGGTTAACCCATGAATACCTGTTTAGATGGTAAGGTGCTGACCTACTGGATGTTTGCATTGATTAGTATTGGCTGCATCTTCTTCATCTTCCTCACTATATCCATATACATACTCTGGTCAGTAAAAAAACAGTTTCTAACAAGATTTTGTTTCAATTAACGTCGACTGTTCTTTTGTGGGGCCTGACTTGGCCTTTCAGAATTTTAGAATGTCCTCCCAAAAAATGTTAATTTTCGAAATTTTAAAAATCCACCAAATTAACAAGATTTTTAAATTGTAAAGGAAAAAATGCTTGCAAATGGTAGCACAGCAATACACATTTTAATCAAAACAAGAGAGCGGGCATTAATCACCGTGTTATTAATTTGAATTAAAAGCTATTTTGTGTTTTATCTAGTACCTTGATCAAATACATTAATAATATTGGTTTATATATAGAAAATAAATATCATTTAATGCACAATGATATTAATATCAGTATTCGATAATATTTTCCACTGTCAATTCCAGTATATTACATATTCATGCTACTAAGTATATGTACAATGTATACACAATATAAAGGGGCTTAAAGGGATTATAACCCAAAACAGTTTAAATAGGAATAAATGTTTACGTTCTTACTTAAAGGGACTGTCGTCGTAATTTTAAATGATCCTCCATTAAAAAAAAAGCATGTTCGATTCAAAACTGTACCCTTGAAATCTTTATCTGATCAACTATGTGGAAGATAACGGCGATTTTATAGCTAAATCTTACTTTAAAAATGTTAATTCGTTATTATTATTTTAGTAAATCTACACGTAAAAATATTAATTAATGATTATTATTTTAGTAAATATACACATAAAAACAATAATTGATAATTATTATTTTAGTAAATATAGACGTAGAAATATTAATTGATAATTATTATTTTTGTAAATCTACCTGTAAAAATGTAAATTATTATTATATTATTCAATCTACCTGTAAAAATATGAATTATTATTATTTTTTTAATCTATCTGTAAAAATGTTTATAGTTAATAGTTTTTATCTTAGTAAATCTACCTATAAAATGTATTATTATTATTTTAGTAAATCTACCTGTAAAATTATTATTTGATAATTTTTATTTAAGTGAATCTACTTGTAAAAATAATTATTATTATTTTAGTAAATCTATCTGTAAAATTGATTATTATAATTTTAGTGAATGTACCTGTAAAAATAATTATTATAACTTTTAGTAAATCTACCTGTAAAATTTATTATTATTATTTAAGTGAATGTACTTGTAAAACTAATTATTATTATTTTAGTAAATCTACCTGTAAAATTGATTATTATTATTTTAGTAAAACTAATTATTATTTTAGTAAATCAACCTGTAAAAATGATTATACAGGACCAGATATACCAAACAATAGAATACTTTTGAAACATCAGGTAAGACTTAATTGTAATCGACTTAACTTTTAGTAAGTTAAATCTCAATTGTAAGTTAAAGTAAAGAATAATGGATCTAAATACTCTAGTTTTCATATTCTTATATCTTTGTAGCCTGATATCTCATTCGTAGATCTTTGATATTTTAAACTTTAATGAATTATTATTTTTATTTATTATTTTTTTCAACATCTTTTTTTTAACTTTCTCAGAAAAAAATGATAATTGTTTTGTTTCTCTTTAAAAAACATTTTTGTGTTTTGTAATTGTAGATTTTATTGCGCGTTTAACGTATACCTGCCAGCCTATTTTAAGTCAATGATTAAGAAGAGTTTAAAGATATTTATTATCTTTAAAATTTCAAGATTTGTGTTTATGTTGAATGTTGAAATGATGAAAAAATTGTATTTTTTCAGGACACTCCCCTTCCACCCTTGTGGCAGTAAACTTGGCCTTTGTCAGTGAGAAACTAGACAATTTAAGACAAATAAATAGTTCAGTGAAGTAATCGAACACTTTTCAGATGGATAAAATAGTTCCAGTGAAGGAATTCAACACTTTTCAGACGGATAAATAGTTCCAGTGAAGGAATTCAACACTTTTCAGACGGAAAAATAGTTCCAGTGAAGGAATTAAACACTTTTCAGAGGATAAAATAGTTCCAGTGAAGGAATTCAACACTTTTCAGACGGATAAATAGTTCCAGTGAAGGAATTCAACACTTTTCAGACGGAAAAATAGTTCCAGTGAAGGAATTAAACACTTTTCAGACGGATAAATAATTCCAGTGAAGGAATTAAACACTTTTCAGACGGATAAATAGTTCCAGTGAAGGAATTAAACACTTTTCAGACGGATAAATAATTCCAGTGAAGGTGTTAATGAGCTCAGGAAATAATACACTTTTCAGACAAAAGAATAGTTGACTAAAAGAATTGAAAAATTAATTATCTGTGCTCATTATGGCCATGACGTTATTTTTCAAAATCTAGTTATTGACCTAGAGTTGTTTGTATTTATACATGAAAATGAATTCCTTGCCAAGGAATTGAGTCTTTACCACAAAATCAGTTTTTGTAAAACTTATATCTTTGCAACCTTATTATGTAATCCTTTGATATTTCAAACTTACGTTATTTGCTCTAATAGCATTCATAGTTTGAAATATTAAAGGTCTACGGCATTGGGTTGCAACGATATTGAAATTAGAAAATCAGAGTTTGTGCCTAAAACTCAATTCCTTTAACTATTTTAAATTGGACGTGTGAAAACTCTAAGATTTTCTATTCCAAGTTTGAAAATTCTGTAAATTGTTAGGGTTTTAACCTTATATTTTAAGGCTGAGGTTTCATACCTTAATTTCATAATTTTAATTGAAGCAATTTTACCGTTATCATTTAGATTATAAACATATTTTTAACTTTAATTTTAAGAAAATAAATTTTACTTGACACTTAAACCACAAGATGGTATTTTTTAATATTTGTTAATTAATGTGTTAATTATTTTTAATTCTTTCAAATAATGAAAAAATTAAATTTTCAAAAACAATTCAAACATTGTAAAGAACTTCTTCAATTTTTTAACGAAATATATAAATTGGTAAATAGCATTTATAAATACATCCTACATTAATCCTTTTAAAAGAAAAAAATACTTTTTGGCTTTATAGCTTTCTGGTGGCTTCACAAAAATCTGTTATCTTTCGCATGTTACAAAAGTTTGCTGTTCTTACAACTTATGCAAAATGAACTGATATGAAATGTTGTTTAAGTCCTTTATCTTTTACCAGAGTCAACATTTGGCAAAGTACAATTTGAGCAAACATTTTGTAAGGTAACTCCTCAAATTTTTTGAAGCCTATTAAAAGCCAAAATTACTTAAATGTTTAAAAACGGATAAAGCAGAATGCCTAACACAATTTTATTATTATTAAATTATTCATCTTTAGTACCCTCCTGTTACCCCTGTACAATGGTTGTAATTAATTAAAATTTGTTATGTACACGTTCTGTAAAGTTATGTACGCGTTGTGCACTTGTAATATGTAGTATAGCAACCCGTACATGTCTTATTTGTCATGATCATTCTATTTTAAAAAGAGTGAGAGAAAAAGCTTCTGCAATAAACGTCCAAATATTGCAATTTAGCATTTTAAAATTGTCATTTTTAGATATTACATAAAAAAGCATTTTCATGAACAAATTACATTTGTGCATGGTCTAATATTTCGCGTTCATAGCTGTGCATATTCATTATATTCTTACAGACAGTAATAATACTAGTTCACGTCGTTTTCAAATATAATATCTGTGATATCTTCAGGCTAAACCATGTTGTATAGCTCAATATAAATGTAGACAAGTTTATTAATAAAATGTTGTAAATGTTATTTTTTCTTCTCAGAAGTCATTTAGAAACAAAAGTTTAGAGCTTGAAACTTTTAAATGGACAGTTAAGACTATTGTCGTGGGAAGACAAAGTGATTTCTTGGTGCTAAAACTTTAGGGATTAGATCAAAGAGAGTTAAGTTAATCACAACATTATGAGATTGATCAATTTGTTCCATTAAAAACTCTTTCGAAGAGAAAATAAAAGTTTAATTCGAGCTGATTAATCCGGGCATGCTTGTAATAAATCTAGGTCCCGAGATTACTCTGCTCTTAGTCTAATTCTAGTCTCATTGACTCTATCTCTAGCCAAACCTCAAGGCTCTATACACGTCCGTATAACTCGACGTTTCATAAATTACTAATTTATTTATACAGGTAAATAGAACTGACCGGAATGGCCGGTCAGGGTTAACATGAACATAGATAAAATAAATAACGAAATATAGATAATAAAGATTGTATTGCTCCTGGTAGAACATTATAATACATGCTTTACTTAGTCCTACCAAGAGAATGAGAAAGATCGGGATTAAATATTCATGCTAAATATACAGTGGGACTCGTAAAACTGTAGAATAGGAAGACGACTGTCAGACTTGAGTTATGATTTTTTAAAGTTCAAGAAACTGGAAACTCATGAATTAGGAATCCATTTAACTTCATAAGATAGTTAATTTTCAAGCAACTCACGTCCCTCTGGTGTACATTTGAATATCCAAGCTAGGCCAACCTTTAGACTTTAGACTGTACCGCCAATTTTCAATTAATAAAGCGGCAGAGGAGTGTGAACTTTTAAAAGTATTTGCTTTATGTCAGCATCAAATACACTCTAGTTTCGTCTTCCTATTACAGAGTTTAATGTGTGCCCCTTTATATTTATAAGAATTCTCTCTAAGTTGACAAAGAATGAATGCGGTTTATTGATTTTCAATATTTATCTTTTTATCTATTTATTTATACAGATATATAAAACTATATATATAATTTTATTAACGTATACAACCGTGTATGTCCTTAAAATCTTCAAGTGTTTGTCTTTTGTCTGCGGTTTGCACGGCATGACATTGTACTGTTTGTACACTAAAAAGACAAAATATTTGTCATATATGTACATTGTACATATATGACAAACATATGATGTTTGAAGAAATTTGTTTTTTTAAATATTTGTTTGAACTGATACTTTGCGTAAAGATATTTTTTGGTCTGATACTTTGTTAGAAGATAGTTGTTTGAACTGCTCCTTTGTTTGAAGATGTTTGTTTGAAAATATGTGTTTGGACTGATCCTTCGTTAGAAGATATTTGAGTAAACTGATCCTTTGTATTTTCCGACAATTTATATAAATGCTTAATTCACAAAGGGGGAAGAGGGGTGTGAGGTATTCAACTCATTTTTTACAAAATCGATTTCGCCCTTGGCTCATTGATAAGAAAGAAGGAACTTAACTTATGTGTTAAATGGACACACATCGATCTATTTTTCATTAGATAGCTCATCGTCATATACTTGCAGAATATCTTCTCTGCCCTTCTTAACCTCAAACCTCCATCATAAAATATATTAACCTTCTCCATCCCCTCCCCTTCGACTGGTATATTTTAACATCCCTCCCTAACATGAAATATATATTATCCCCCCCCCCCCTGCACACTTTTTGTATCTTGTACATTAGACGGTTAGGTATATTATGTATTAGAATATATATATTCTTTTCTCCATAATATTATATGGGCTGTTTAAACCTTCATTCTTCTTCTTCTTGCTCTTCTCTATATTTCATCGTTCTACAACATTGATATTTATTAAATCCTATCCCCTGCCAGTAAGGGGGGTCTGTCCTAGAGAACATTTTTTGCCCCCCCCCCCTCCTATGAATTTTGTACATGACCTAGATTTAAACTATTTTCAACAAAAAATATTTATTTTATATTTTTTATTATTTCAGGGTTAGGCTGGCTGGGTTAAGACAATTTCTGGGTCGAGCGCTGCGGCTAGGAAAAGCTAGGGGGCCGAGCGGTGCGGCCAGGACAGATCTTAAATATCAACTATTTTCAACAAAATTAGTATAACTTTAGGGTTAGGTTAGGTTAAGACACTTTCTGGGCCGAGCGCCGCGGCTAGGAGAGACTAGGGGGCCAGGTGCTGCGGCCACATGACCAACTGTATCCATGTGTTAAATAAATGAATTGCATGTACAAAATTAATAAGAAAAATTAATAGTAAACGAAGAGAAGCTCTTAATTGACAGCTTCTCTTTGTTTACATATTGGTATGTGCCTCTGCTGTTGGAAAGATTGGTAAAAATTAAAATTTAAATAATATTGTATTGATATATACGTCGAAGACCGTAAAATGCTTAAAAATTCCATGTTGGAATGCAATGAAAGGCATATCAAATGTATACTCTCAATAAACATTGAATTTCTATAAGCTTAGGTGAACATCCCCCAGAGGTCTCCACAATGAATCGAATCAACCTGATCATTTGATAAATCCCTTCATGTAGTTCAATGAATACAGCTCACAGTAAACTAGACAGGAGGAAAATGTCAAATTAATGCAATTTTACTTGTACGACTTTGTGACTTAGTATCTCCTCTAGTTTCGATTTTAAGAATAAGTCCGAGAAGAACAAATTTATCTCTTTACATTAAAGAAATTAAAAACATTTCAATTCTGTTCACTAGCTTTTCAATAACAGAAGTTAGGAAATGTAATCTATATAACGTATATAAAATTTTAATCTTACGTACAATTTACTTTAGTTTAACGTGAGGGGGACGGAATATTAAGGGAGGGAGGATCAAGGAAGAAGTAAAGAATGGTGTCAAAAGAGGTGAATGTTTCCATGGTTTAACGAAAAATAATCGAAAACATTAAAAAAATAAAAAATAAAAATTTTAAATAGAAATATTTTTGAAGAAGTTTTAATAAAATTGAACTTCTGTGAACATTTAAAAATACAAATGTTTGGTTTCAGAATGTTTTAGGAAATACCACAAATTTTCATATTTTTGTCAACATTTTGTTCGTTGTAATTTAGAGCAAAATGTTTGTAATTTCGAAATGCATCGAGTAAGTTCGATGGTACGAACACAATTTTACGTTTTTCTAACAAATTAAAACAATACAGATACAGTATTGTGCAGTGTGCACTGTGCCTGAAATTAAAAAAGTATCGTTGAACAAAACTCCCGAGTTTCCTTTTTGTGGTCTTAAAATTTGTGGTTATTTATGTTTTTCCAAGAAATAGAAAGAAATACTGGGTTTCGTAACAGTAACCTGTCTTAAGTTTCTGACACAGTGTGCAGGTGTTTAATGTTGAAAATAAAGAAGGGTCTAAGAGTGTACTCTGTATACTCTAGTATTTAATGGAGCTTTATTATTACAGTCGATGGTAACTATTTATTTATCTAACCAACAAGATTTACAGGGGAACCCACTTTACATGAACCTTTCATCTTGAAGCAACAAGATTTTTAAAGATCTAAAAAATCTAGAATAAATCATAAAAGGCCGAAGCAAAAATATAAGAAATATCGTAGCAAACCCTCTATTTGTAAACCTGAACACACCTAGATAAATTACGTTGTACATTATCTGTAAATCTTAACGTGCTTGTAAATAACAACGCAAAACTTGTATTCCGATTAATCTAACCTAGCTACGTCTGTAAATAACTACGTATTGTGATTAGCTTAGCTACGCTTG